TATGCACCAGGAGGTCACCAGTTTGATTCCTGATCAGGGCACATGCCCAGGTTGTGGGCCCGATCCCCAGTGGGGGGCATGTAGGAGGCGGCTGGTAGATGTTCTCTCTCATGGCTGTTTCTATTTCTCTCTCCCTTCCTCTCTCTAAAATCAATAAAGAAAAAAAATTAAATAAAGTCTTTGAGACCTGGCTGGGTGACTCAGCTGGTTGAGCGTCATTCTGTACACCGAAAGGTTGAGAGTTTGATTCCCGGTAAGGGCACATATCCAGGTTGTGGGTTCGATCCCCAGTTGGGACACTTGTGGGAGGCAATTGATTGATGTTTCTCTCTCACATCTCTCTCCCCTATCCGCTCTTTCTCTGTCTGGCCCCCCCTTTCCTTCTCTGTAAAATCAAGTAAGTTAGTTAATTAAGAAGTTCAATTAAGAAGTTATTTAAATTTCTTTAAAATCTAATTAATGTTTAAAGCAAATATGCTAACAGTGTACTGGGGGGTTTATAACATATGTGTGACAACAATAACAAAAAGGCCAGGAAAAATGGAAGTACACTCCTGCAAGGTTCTTATAGTATATGTCAGATAGTATAACATCATGTGAAGGTAGACTATGATAAGTTAAAAATGTATAACATAAACCCCAATATATCAATAATTACAGAAAATAGAAAATGTCTAAACAATGCCATACTAGCAGATATTATTAGGTTGGATTTTAAAAGCACCAAGATTCAACGATATAATTAACCAATCCATTTTAAAAATAAAGATACAAATAGGTGGAAAGTGAAAGGGTGGGAAAAGGTGCACCATCCTAACAATAATTTTATAAAAGCTGGAGCAGCTCTATTAGTATCAAATAAAATAGATTTCAGAGCAAACAATATTACTAGGATCAAGAAAGTCATTTCATAATGATAAAGAGGCCAATTTATCAAGAAGACACGATGATGCTAAATGTTTCTGCACCTGATAACAGAAACTTCGAAAACAGTAATGAGATGTTGTTGGAGCCTCACAGGAATGACAGTGCTCTGTAGAATTCCATATAAATGTTACTTCTTTATTTCTTCCTTTTCTATTTTTCATATTATCTATATGCTCACTATAAATTAAACTTAAGGACACTATACCTACCTTTATTTGGTTATCAAAAGAAACCATCCTGGGAGGCAGTAAATAGTGGTGGCAAGTTATTTTGGCTTCTATGGACTTCAGTTGTTCCATTTGTACCATGAAGGTCAACTGTTTTGGGGAAAAAAAAAAGGTTTTTAAACAGTGAATTCCATCTCTAGCCTAACAGCATGTGGAACCCATATCAGCCTGTGGAGCTGCAGAGGCTGGGCCGAGTATCCAGGGCTTGGTACCTGTACTAGCCATACTGGGATGGGAGCCCAGCAAGGACGGAAGACCAGGAATGCTGGGAGATGTAAATGAGAACTTCAGCCACATAGCTTGCTGGCTGGGCTCTTAATTCTTCCTCTTACTTGTGAGATCTGGGGAAAGGGTATTCTATTAACAGCATTCTTTCATTTTAAGTATTTTCAACAACTGACAGCAAATAGTTATGAATTTTATAAGCTGCCCTCAGCTTATATGTAAATGAATGGCAACAACTGAAGATAAGTGACAGCTATTTCCTAGCTCAACAAATCCAAAGGATTTGTGGATGGACACATTAGAGGCGTTCCTGGCTGGCCACAGAGGGAACAGCATTGCTTATTGTACACGTGCTCAGCATTGTACATCATGTCACAGGTACAACAGCACCCGTGCTCCTTTGACGTTTCCAAGAGAAGACAGTGTGGGGAGGATGCTGACACACAATATGGGCAGCACACACTTATATGTAGCAGGTACATTAAACATTAGGACAGATATAGCTTCTTTAATATACAGGATCATTTTAAAGCTGTGGACTCAGATGTATAAAACAGAATGTACGTTAAGCATCCTGTCAACATCCTTTTCTTTGTGCCTCTTGTCTTTTTTAACACTTTCTTGCTCTGTGTATACCCCTTTGGATTTCAGCTTTGAAATACCGATAAATGAAATTTGGAGGAAGACACCTACAAGGCTAACAAAAAGAAAGAAGGTAACACAATTCTGTATCCTTCCAAGAGAATCAGTCACATCTAGAAACCAAGTGTTCAGCTTTTTCTTTTTTTATCCTCACCGGAGGACATTTTTCCATTTTTTTGTTCAGATAGAGTGGAAGGAAAAGAGAGGAAGAGAGACAGAAACATTGATGTGAAAGGGGACACACTGAGTGGTTGCCACCCGCACGACCCAACCAGGAGGGCCAGGGACAAACTGCAACCAAGGTACATGCCCTTAGCAGGAACCGAACCCGGGTCTCTCGGGACCGCAGGCCGACGCTCTAACTGCTGAGCCAAACCGGCCAGGGCTTGGGTTCAGCTTTTTCACAGTAACCTTCCAACCAGCCTTATAAGTACTACTAAGAAGGGAGGATCAAAGTAGTTAATACAGAAAAGTCTAGAAGGATATACTCCAAGTTGCTGACATTAGTTCCAGAGGATGAATATGGAAAGGAATGATGACAAATTATTCAACTTTTCTTTACACATCTTTGAATTATTTCCTGTTACATTAAGCATGTATATAACTTTTGTGATAGACATTAATAAAGAACATTGGTTAAAAAAGCAACTACCGCCCTGGCCGGTTTGGCTCAGCGGTTAGAGTGTCGGCCTGCGGTCCGGAGAGACCCGGGTTCGGTTCCCGCTAAGGGCGCGTACTTCGGTTGCAGTTTGTCCCCGGCCCTGGTTGGTCGTGCTGCTGTGTCCCTTCATGTCGATGTTTCTCTCTCTCTCTCCCTTCCTCTCTCTCCCTCCCACTCTATCTGTACAAAAAACAGAAAAATATCCTCGGGTGAGGATATAAAAAAAAAAAAAAAAAAAAAGCAACTACCATATTCATTTATAAAACACTGATTAAAAGTGTGTTTGTATATAATACACATGGTCTTAGTAAAAGAATCAGTAAGCTCACCAAAGACTAAAATTTCAAAGTCTAAATATTAGTTTATAGCAGAAGTTATATGAGGCAGAAGTATGAGGGTAGCCTCTGGGTTCATAACATTCTTCTAGCCCTGTTCTCCTGGGCAGCCCAGTGCAGTCCCCTGTAATTAAATGAAGTAATGTGGGTAATGACTTAGCACAATGTTTGGAAACAGCAAGTACTCTACCTCACAAAAAGGTCCCACAGAATCAAGGTCACTTACATCTTGTTAGATGGGACCAGCTTTCCTCCTGGGGTAAATACCACACAAATTATGGAAAGCACAGATGTAAGGTCTCCTCAAAAAGCAACTTACCCCTTTATCCTCCGGTGAGGATAAAAAAAAAAAGCAACTTACCCCTCTCCTCTAAGAGTTCTTGCCCTGACATTTGAAATAGGTCACTATTTCTAAGCCTCTCCCATAGCATAATTCTATGATTAGTGGATCCTTCCTCGATGGATCACACTTTAGCTTTCTAAGCTGCAGGGACCTTGGAACTAAAGAGATTTCAGACCAGTGAGTCTTTGTTGTCAGGGGCCAGGTTAACCTGTGAATTGTAAGATGTTTAGTGGCATACAACATACACCAAACTGCTCAAGCCAAAACTTGACCCAGTGGATGCCAGTGGCATCCAACCCCACAGTTGTGACAAAAATATCTCCAGACATTGCCAAGTGCCCCTGTGTGGCAAAATTGCCCCCAGTTTAAAACCACAGGTATAGATCAATTTAGTTGTTCTTCAGCCATCCCATAAGAACCTGGGCTAGTAGGACTACACATTAATATCCATGTACCCTCCCACCACCAGAAACAAACCCATACCCCAAAACTTGAACTTTTAAATTTTGTTTTAAGACCTTCTTCCCGGGAGCAATGTAATGTTACCTGTGAAACTCAAATTTTCTGAAACATTTCTCTAACATGTAGTGCAAACTTTCTCAGTTATTGGTGAGAAAGGACTATAGGCCAGGAAAAATTATGTAGGTCAAGCTAGGCCCTGTGGGGATGAGGGAGGGAAGAGGTGTTCAGCCAGCTGGGGTTCCCTGAAGAACAAGATCTCAAATTCATTCATACAGCATAGAATGAGTGAGACAGACTGGCAGATGATAGATGCTTAGTCATATGGCTTTATACACCATCTATGTACTGATGCCCTCCCATTCTATATTTCCAATCCTCACGTCCCTCATGGTAGCCAGCTTCTTGCATTCAACTGCTACTCAGTGTCTCCATTTGGGTCTTGTACAGGAATCTCAAACTCAGCATGGCCAAAACGGAACTGATTTTCCCTCCTAAACCTGATCGTCCCCTGGTATTTCTCATAAATGGCCATACCACCATACACCAAATTGCTCAAGCCAAAACTGAGAAGTCACCCTTGATTCTACTATTCCTCTTTCCCTCACCTCCATATCCATGGGTCATGTCAGCTCTGCCTGCAAACCTATGCCTAATCTGCCTCTTTTCTCTAGCCCCACTCCTGCACCCTAGGATCAAACCACTAGACCATGGCATTAGCTTCCCAACTAGTTTTTATTTCCTCGTTTGTCCCCTACATCAGGTTTTCTCAATATTCCACTGATCCTTGCCCCTCAGGTTTTTGGCAGGCATATAATCATTCTACTGGTCATTGTTTCAGATTGCTCCCTGTCCCGAAGCAGTGAAGGGACTATGAATCTCAAACTCACCTGGCTCAGAGGTTCAAACAGCCTCTTTGTCCATCAACTCAATTTAAAAAGTAGCATGGACCTGAAAACCTTTGGTGCTGGCTTCAAGTTAAAATAGTTGCCTGGGTCAAAGGCAGGATGATCCAAGGTGCAGCATGGTCAATAAATGCTGGCTGAGCCCGGGAACTGTAGCTGGGCTGTTTCCATGAAAACAAAGATGACTGGTCCACCTGGCAGCTGGATGGCTGTAAACTGGCGGCGATGCTGCCCTGGCTGAGGGCCATGGCCCTGTCGTGGCCTTTGGGAAGCAATTCATCGGGACATTTTTACATTCCGGCTGGTTGCTGGCTTGTCCCTTCGGGGAGGGCTCTCCACGTGGTGCAGAGACGTCTCCACCCGCAGGGACGAGGCCTTGACGTGGCGCGAGGACGTTTCTGTGCGCTGTGAGGTTTCCACGCGCTGTGAGGACACCTCGAGGACGCGAGGGAGCCTCTTCCCGGAGTGGGATTGGAACGGCCCCTCACCGCGACCGGGGGAAGTCTCCACTTGCTGGGAGTAGGTGTGTACCAGTCGGGAGGAGGTCTCCACGCGGTGGGACGAGGTCTCCACGCGGACCGTCGACGTCTCTTTGTGGCGGGTGGTTTCCACCCGGGGCGAAGCGGTCTTTCCTCGAAGGGGTGAGGCCATTCTACGGGTGTAACGGGGGAGGGGACGGAGAGACCTGGGGAGGCCGGTCGGCCCAACACTCTCCGATAGTCTCTCCTCTAGGTTACATCACAGGGGAAGGGATGATGTCACAATGGCGTGTTACGTCACGGCAGGCTCGAGGGTGAACGAGAGTGTCCCGACACGATGACGTGAAGGCTCGGGGATTCCCTGCGGGCTGTTCTCTCCGTGCAAATATTGGGCCCTGCGCCCTGCCCCCTGGCGCTCCGTGGACCCACCTGCCCTCGCCTTCGGCGAGCGCGCGCCGGCGGAGCGGGGGCGGGCCCGGGGTGGGCGGAGCCTCTCGCTCCCACTCCAGGCTGTGCCCGCCCCCATGTCCCACACTGCCCCGCGACAGGAAGGCGGAGCCGCGGCTTCCGGAACCTCCTCCGCATCTCTTGGTAGCGGCCGTGTGGGGCTGGTGGCGACTCAGCTTCTTTGCCTGGGATGGCCGCGGCTGTCGCTATGGAGACAGGTCAGTAGCTCTCGGAGCCGCGAGTTTTCGCGAACAGCCCGATCCGGGGCCCAGGCACCTCCTCCTGCTCCCGCCCGGGACTCTCTGGCGGCCTGACTCTCGGCGGGGCTGGAATTCGGACTCGGAGGCGCGAGGGCTCTTGTAGCGGCTGGACAGGCGAAGGTAGTTTGGCCTTTTCAGAGTCTGATTTGTTCGCCGACCTTTTTCCCTCACTTGCTAGTCCAACACCGACCCCATGGGCTTTCTGGCGTGGGCGAGACTAACCGAGTTCGATTTGTTTTCTGCATCTCAAACGAACTTGTATAAGTTTGAAATATCGTCGACACGTGTATTTTTCTGCCACAGACGTTTCTCACGTATGCTCACGTTCCGTCTCTTTCTGCTTGAATTCTAAACATTTTTTTTTCATTGATTTAGCATTTGCTTAACTTAATCACATTAACCTTTTAACGCACTATTAAAATAGGGGAAGGCACATTTATTACCACTTACATAGTGATTACTGTTAAAACATTACCTAGAGGCTCACAAGTGATAAATATCCTGCCCCCCCTGTGTTCCTGTTTTCTTTGATGACTTCTCTTTAACTTTAGAGAAACCTAATTGTTCTAATCAGGCCTTTGCCTTTTTCACCCTTGTAAGGAAGGCTTATCTCCTCTCACACCCAGTGTAGAAAAACCATCGGCTGCCTTTCATGTAGAAATGTATCTCAGCATTAGTCAGGTTTCCTTACTGCTGTTCTTTCTACAAATCCGTATTATGTGAACTGACCTTTATTTTGAGTGATTTTTTTGCTCTCTTCTTTCTTAGATGATGCTGGAAATCGACTTCGGTTTCAGTTGGAGTTGGAGTTTGTGCAGTGTTTAGCTAACCCAAATTACCTTAATTGTAAGTTGTTAAGCACCTCATTGAATTAATGATTTGTGACAGGAGTTGTGATTCATAATAGTGTCTGCTTTTATACATTGTCAATTGAATAGAATTATTGCTACACTTATGCTGATGATATATATATAACTGAGCACACTGGGATTGTTTTTTTTAATTCAATGTGTGTTGGTGGGGATGTTATGTAAGTAAATGCTTTATGTTAGGAGTCACAAATTAGTAGTTCAAGGATTGGTTTGCTCTACAGATGTATTTTTTTTTCTTCTATGCCTTTCAGTTCTTGCCCAAAGAGGTTACTTCAAAGACAAAGCTTTTGTTAATTATCTTAAGTACTTGCTTTACTGGAAAGAACCAGAATATGCCAAGTATCTAAAGTAAGTTTAATTTTTATAGTCCTAAATATGTATATACTTTATTATACTCCAAAACACTGATATTTAACAGACCTCTTAGTTTCACATTGGGGAAAAACTATTTTGAATCTCTCCACTTCTTTTAGTTGTGACCACCTTACAAGACACACTCATCTCTAACTTGGATTATCGCAATAATCTACTCACTGATTATCTCTGCTTCCACTCTTACCTTTCTTCCTCCCACCCCCCACCCCCAGCCAAACAAAGCAAGAGTTCTTTACACAGAAGCCAAATTAATCTCTTAAAAATGTAGATCACAACATGTTACTTTCTTGCTTAGAATTTTTCAATGGCTTCCCATTGAATGCAGAATAAAATTCAGTCTCTTTTCTTGAGATAAACTCTATATGATCTGGTTGTGTCTTATCTGACTTTATCTTGTACCACTCACCCTATCTCATTGGTTTTCTGACCCCAAAGAACCTACAATCTATAAATGCAGGGACATAGCAATAGGCTAAAAACTTAAGAACGTAGAAAGGGGCTAGGGAAGGTTTTCTGGAGGAGGTAACCTTATGTGAGTCTTAATAGCTACTGTCTTTTTTTAGAGCCTCCTATGTGCCAAGTACTGTGCTCATTAATGTGTATACACACACACACCCCATTTACGTTATGCAAAAAGATGATGTCATTTTAATGGTTACTAAATTGTAAGAAGCATATTATAATCACAAACCTGTTCCCTTTTTTTAAATCCTCACCCGAGGATATTTTTCTCTTTATCTTCAGATAGAGTGAGAGAGGGAGAGAAAGGAAGAAAGAGAGAAACATCGATGTGAGAGGGACACAAAGACTGGTTGCCTCCCACACGACCCCAATCAGGACCGGGGACGAACCGAAACTGAGGTACGTGCCCTTGGCCAGAGTCAAACCCATGACTCTGATCCGTGGGCTGATGCACCACCACTGAGCCAAACTGGCCAGGGTACACAACTATTCCATTTTAATGGTAAAAAATAAACTTAGAATTCACATCTCTGCTTGGTCTTAACTAGGTAGTCAAAAAGCAATAATGAAACTTCCTGTCTTTTTTCCCTAAACAAACATAAATTTAAGAGAAGAATGTTTCAAACTTGTACTTTTTACCCAAGTCACTTTTCTGATTGCCTACAGGACCCTTTGTACCCTTACTGGCTCTTTATAAACAACCACTTGCTCATTTAATAATCCACAGAAAATACTTTTTTATTAGATTGAAACATGTATGTATGTAGATTTAGAGACTCAGTGATGGACACTGAGTCTTGGACACCATCAAGTTTAATTTCACCTACAACATTGCTGAGATGGTCATCTACATTAGGGCTAGAGGTTTCCATTGAGCAGATATTGCTTCATTTGGGGACAGCCAATTCCATTGTTAACTAGATGCTACAAAGTTCTTCCTTATATTGTGATATTTTGTACCTCCATGTAGCTTCAATCTACATACCCAGTTTTGTTTCTAAATTTAGAACTAGTCTATGCCTTAGTGAGGCAAGGGCCCTTCTGACATTTTAACTTAAGAGAGGTCTGCTCTGCTGGCGTGGCTTAGTTGGTTGAGCATTGTTCCATGCTCAGAAAGGTTGCCAGTTCGATTTTTGGTCAGGGCACATACCCAGGTTGTGGGCTTGAATCCCTTGCATGCCGGAGGCAACTGATCGATGTTTCTCTCTCTCCCTCTTCCTCGAAAGAAAAAAATAGAAGGCCGTTTATTTTTAAAAAAAGTGTTTTACAGATAAGTAAATAAAATTCAAGAGAGGTTTCAAATTAACCCCTGTGGACATATCATTCAGTCTGCATAAGTTTTTTTTTTTAATTTTAATAGTTGCCAACATTTAAAGATTGGAAAAGTGTCATGTAATCAGAGTTCAGGCTACTCTTTGAAATCTGGAAGAGCTGGTAACCCCAGGTCTTCATTCTCCCAAATCAATGACTGGATAGAGACGAGGAGCAGCTGCCTCTCTACACACTTTCTCCCATTTGACCTGTTTCACTAACAGCCAGTACCTGCAACTGTAATGTCTCACATTTATTTTTCTCACCTACCTTTCAGTCACTTATCTTATGTCCTCCTCTGGATATTTTGCAATCATGCCTTATCTTATTCAGCCAAGAACTAAACACAGGTCTTCAGATGTAAGGGTACAGTGGACCAAATAGCACTTTTTTCTTAATATGGACATTATACTTCTGTTAGTTCAACTTAAGTTTACATTACCTTTTGGTGGGGTGGTGCTGGGAGAGCAAGGATTCACACGGTTGATTTCCTGGGAGCTTTATGTCAACTAAAATCCTTCAGTTCTTATTTTTATTAATGCTGTTGAGTTCATTTATGTCTTGTTTACTTAAATGCATAACTTTCTATTTGTACCTTTTCTATTTCATCTTGTTGAGTAATGCTACAACTATAGCCTGTCAAATTATTTATAATTCCTTATTGTGTTGTTTAATATATTCTGAGCCTTGCTTCTACAAGTTTGATAAAAGATCAGTGGGTCTAAATTCTAGTTATTGACTTTTAAATGCTACTTGAGAACATTCTCTTGGTTGTCACATTATTTTACAGATAAAGAAACTAAACCTTAGTGAGAGGTTAAGTACCTTATTCAAGGCCACCCAACTGGTGAATTTCAGATCTGGTATATGACCTAGGTTTTTTTAACTACCAGTGCCCTCATGAAAAAGAAATAGCTAGGGTGGGTGTGAGTAGGGCATTCTAGGCTAGCAACCATCACAAGCAACTGTGTGTCTAGAGTGTACACAGCAAACCTGTAATATCTTGGAAGGACAGCATGCTACTCAGTGTGGTTTTCAGATCATAGTGTTGGTATCACTTGGGAGCTTGTTAGAAATGCAGAGCTTAGGCCCCACCCCAGTCTAAATAGAATCTGTATTTCAAGAAGTGATTCATGTGCATGTTAAAATATGAGAAGGCCTGCTGTAGTATACTGTTTTCCAAACTTGAGTCATTTGTACCACTTGGACAGTTTTGGCTCTGTGTACTCCCTATATGATTTAATGTTTTTAATTTACTCATTTAAAGTTTATGTCTTTTCTATTTGAAATAATTTCACTTACAAAACAGCTTGGAAAAATAGTAAAGAGAATCCCTGTGTATTCCTCACTCATGTATCCTAAATGTTAACATCTTATATAACCACAGTACAATGATCAAAATCAGACCATTAGCATTAATATATTAACCTTATTATCTAATCTACAGACTTCAAATTTTTCAGGCTGTCTTATTAATGTCCTGTCTGGTACAGTATCCACTCTAAGCTCATATGCTGCATTTTGTCATCTTGTCCTCTTAGTCTCCTTTGTGAGTTCATTGGTTTCCCCCCCCATTCCCCCATGACTGACACAGAAGTGATGCTGTATTCTTCTAGGTATATCAGGAGTCACAGGAAGTCAATTTACCCAACACTGGTGATGTTCATCTTGATCACTCAGTTGAGGTGGTGGCTGCCAGTTTTCTCCATATCAAGTTACTATATTTTCTTCTATGTTTAGTAAAATATCTTGTGAGGAAGTACTTTGAAACTGTAAATACCTTGTTTCATATTATACTTTTACCCACTAATTTTAGTATCTATTAAAGCTACTTGCCTCAAATAATTTTTTTTCTAATTCTAATACCATCATTCTTTCTATATTTATTAGGTGGAATTCAGATGTAAGGAACATTACCTTGTTCCCATTTTATTTATTTATTCATTTAAAAAAGTTGCATCAATATGGACTCGCATAATCTTATTTTTATTTTGTGGATTATAATTATGTTTTTTGTTGCCCTAGTGATTCCAGATATGGCCATTAGGAGACCTTTCAAATAGTCTCTTGAGTATTAAATTGAACCTGCAACCCAGGTACATGCCCTTGACCAGGAATCAAGAACCTGTGACACTTTGGTCCTTGGGCCGATGCTCCAACTGCTGAGCTAAACTGGCCAGGGCTCCCCATAGTTTTTTTGATCATTTTCTCTGGCTCTACATAATAGTACAGGCTCACCTTGTATTTTTCCCTGCCTCAGCCCTGGAATCAGCCATTTCTCCAAGAAACTCTGGAAAATGCTATTTAAAACCCATGAATTAGGCACTGTGTGCTTATTGGTACCACAGTGTCATTCCTCCTAGGCCCTCTCTGTACACAAACTAAGAACACGTCTGTGTCTTTTTCTATATAAAAAGTCATGTGTTCATACTGATGTTTTCAACTCTAGTTCAAAGACAGGGTTCCCTCTTGCCTTCCCCCTTTCTTCATCTGTCTCTTTTTATGACAGCCAGAAATTTGGCTCTTTATCCACAGTATATTTACTTACGTCTTTGCTCAGTCTTGGAGTATGCATAATTTCAGAATTCCATAATCCCCATGGGAGAAGGGCTCCCCATAATTTTTTGAGCATTTTTCTTTGGCACTACATAATATTGCAGGCTCACCTTGTATTTTCCCTGCCTTAGCCCTGGAAAATAAAAGATGTCTTTATCATTACTGGCAGAAAACCAATAGTTATCAATTTAACACATAATTACTAAAAGTAAAAGTGTTCCTGTTCCTCACCTTGGAAACCACAAGAATAGAGTAGCATGATTTGTCCCCAAATGTTGACTCCGCTTAGCAGTTATTGTGTGGTCTTGGGAAAGTTACTTAATCTTTCTGAACTTAAGGTTTCTCACTTTTGAAAATTTTGTTTAATGCTGACTTTTGATCACTAGCTTTTTTGCCTAAGCAGGAAAAAAAAAGAACTCTATGCTACCAAAGTGTATTAAGTTAATGTAACAGAAATTGTAGCTACAAGGATCATTTTTAAGTAACTGAATTAGAGGTTGGTGTTATTGACTTAAATTATGCCAGTCATTAATTTGTACACTTAAACCCAGGTACCCTCAGTGTTTACACATGTTAGAACTACTCCAATATGAACACTTCCGCAAGGAGCTGGTGAATGCTCAGTGCGCGAAATTTATTGATGAGCAGCAAATTCTGCACTGGCAGCACTATTCCCGGAAGCGGATGCGCCTTCAGCAAGCCCTGGCAGAGCAGCAACAGCAAAATAACACGTCAGGAAAATGAAAAGCTGGATCCAAACCAGGCTCCTAAGAGTGTACATATTGCTTTTGTATAGTGAAGACAAAAAAGACTCATCTTACCTACTTTTATTGTGGTAGCACTTAGTACCTTTAGTGTGCTATTTAATCTGACTAACTTTTTATTGTTAATAGATTATTTCTGTTAAACCAAAACTGTTCTTTGATTTCCCTCTGGGTTTGTAAGTTTTTATTAGTATTGAACACAACAAACTGAGTTAAGAACAGAAATATTTGGTGCCTTGGACTAATTTAAGGAGGCAGTGAGGATGGGGAAGGGGAAGGCCACCCCAATATCCCAAACTCATCCTAGCTCTGTTCCTGATGTACAGTGGGGCCTGGGGCAAGCCTATCTCCTAGAACCTTACTGTCCCCTAGATCAGCTACCTTACCCTTCTTATCCACATAATGAAGTCATTGGCTGTATTCCTTATCTGCATACATAAGGAATAGAGTCAGTGACCTCTTTAAATCACAGAGCAGGAACAGCATAAGGTTTCTTAAATTCTGCAGAAGAGGACATACCTATACCACTACTTGCTTTGCAAGAGAGCTTTTATGGAAGAATCATTGGTATGTCACAGACCTAGTGATGGCAGGAAGATTGGTAATTAACTAACTGGACTCTTGACCTGAGACTAGAACAAAGATGAGGAACCTCAAACAGTTGTGCTCATTTGGTAAAACTAACGTTTATTGGCAGACACCACAAACCAGGCACTGTGTTAAGTGTTTAGTTGCATTTTCATTGTATTCTCAGAACAATCGTGGTTCAAAAGGAGGAGACTGAGGTTTAGACAGGTTAAGTAACTTGCCCATGGTTACACTGTTAGTAAGTGCTAATCAAGAATGTGACTGGCTTACAGGTTGGAGGCCTTCTGCTAGGTTATATAGGCTTTCATCTCTCTGCCTCATCCCAAGTAGTGAAGCACATTCAGACAGCTGTAAAACAAAGCTGTCTGCATGAGTGAGGGCTGGATTAGATGTGTTGTGCTGTCCTTCAGTGGTTAGGTTAAGTTCTAAAGTCTAAAGCCAAAGAAGGTGTTTTAGGAATTCATGGAATTTATTGTGAATTCATGGAATTTAAGGTAAAAGATCCTAACTCGTTTAAAGATTTGGAAGCTGTCTACTCACTATGAAGGGCTTTCAGATATTTCTATTACCTCCAATACATTCCTTTGTGCTATTACTACCACTTTTTACCTATATCTTAAAGATATCCATATATTACAAACAAACTGAGGGTTCACAGACACATTTTATAACGCTCTATTGTTTAGACAAACCAATTTTCTTGTCATCATCATTTATTTATGCCTAACATGAATTCAAAGCAAGTATGCAATTTCTTTTATACTAGAGCAAATCAGGAAATCAAGACACAATGGTCAAATCTTAATCTTCAGAGAACAACATCTCCACGAGGTTGGCCTGAAGACATTCAGATTCTACCAGTTTTTGAGGCTGTAAGAGAAGAATAGTCAAATTGTAACCCACAGTTACAAAAATGGTATTAGGAGGGCACAGTTGTTCAGCCTTGAGTGACACAAATCTTGAAACAGAAATTATGCCATTCAGAAACTATCAACCAGTTGTAACAAGTTTTATGAAATAGTTAAGATAGTTGCTTTAAGGTGAATCATTAAAGTACTTGGCTCAAAACTCAGACTAAAACAAGGAGACAGTAAGCCCAATGTCGCCATCTTGACCTCAGCGCTTTCATTTAGAATCCCACGGCCATGACTACAGGAGGTGTCCTTTTCAACCAGAATTATGGATTAAATGGAAAACAACCAATGATGCCAGTGTTTAACAAGTCATGTGTAAACCAACTTTCTTGAGCAATGTTTATAGAATTTTAAATTAATAACTTTTAAAGAGCATGAAAAAGATGTAATATTTAGATATTGGGATTGACCATAGGGGATTGACAGATGCACTCTGAACAGCAATGTGGTATTTGGGGTGAAATGTCAAGACCTTTCCAAATTTGAATCCAGAACAAGTTAAGAGAGTTTTGATACGGTGAATTGTAGTGCCAACATAGTTGAAGAAAGATACTCACTGTTCCATATTTAAGTAGTGTAGGCACTGCAGTTATTTTCAAGTTTTTTCTGAAGTCATTATTTGGATCTTTCCAGCTATTTTGAAAAAGAAATGATAATGAAACATTTACTTTGTTTCTTACATTAAAAAAAAATTGATATATTCTTACATTTAGTCATCATTGTTTTTATTGTAATCATTTAAAAAACCTAGCCCTGGCCGGTTTGGCTCAGCGGTTAGAGCATCCGCCTGTGGTCCGGAGAGACCCGGGTTCGGTTCCCGCTAAGGGCATGTACCTTGGTTGCAGTTTGTCCCCGGCCCTGGTTGGTCGTGCAGGTGGCAGCCACTCGATGTGTCCCTTTCACATTGATGTTTCCCTCTCTGTCTCTTTCTCTCTCTCCCTCCCACTCTGTCTGTACAAAGGATGGAAAAATGTCCTCAGGTGAGGATAAAAAAAAAAACAAAAACAAACAAACAAAAAAAACCTTGAGGACTGTGGTTTACCTATTCCCCTGAGTAAAAGCTTTTTTAAAAAGTGTGACTGAGATATAAAATAAATGTAAAGACAATTAAGTTCTGAACTAACACCAGGCCAAATTCGTTGAATAATCCTGCTTCTAATACAGGTGGCCAAACATTCAAATCTTTAATTTGTATTTAGTGTCTTCTACTTGCTTATCTGACTATACCTTAGATACACAACCCGCGTCTCAAGGCCCTTCCTGCCGAAGTTTGCATGAGTCTAGTATAGCATGTCTGGAAAATAAGAGTATATATTGCCACTTACTAAGGTTTTTCTCCTACTTGGCAGTAGATGAACACACATTCTTTACAAATATGCTTCAGCCCCTCTCGTACGACTGGTTCAGCTTAAAAAAAAAAAGTTGATATAAAATAGTCACACATCAACTTTACAATCAGGCACCGACATACTGTTCCTCTTCCCTCCCCTCAGTGTTGCTAAGAAGTCAGACTTTAACCTGCAGTTAACTGAGGAGGTTAACACAAGTCAGATGTTCTCTGATTTGAGAGCCACTTTAAGGGTACTAAGTCCCAGTCCTAATTTGATCCCACGTCCCAGCGCCCAAAAGAAAGGCATAAATATTTGCTGATCTATCTAAATGAGATCAACTCACGTCTCTAGTAAAACACTAATTTCAAGATTATATGGGTCGAATGGTAGAAAGCACTCTTGGGGTGGGGATGGACTTAACAGAAGAAGGGAACCAGGGTAAAAAGGTGGCAAGAGGACAGCTCAGACAGCCCTGCGGGTCTCCAGGAGTCAGGCTCCATCTGCCTCTTGTTAACGGCGCTCTGGCCAGAGCCTGGGCCTTCCTGCCACTTCCTCTAGGCAGCATTCCCCGAATCCCGGCCTCACCCTCCACGCAGTCGGGGCACCAGCTTTTCCCTTCGGCGTCCTTAGAACCGGTAAAGTAGGCGAAAATGGCCTTGTCTTTGTGCTGCTCCACAGCCCGGCTGAAGTCCTCGAAGCCGGACACACATACCTCTTGGAAAAGGGCCATCAGGAGAGCGCAACGTGGACCGGCCGGGGGAGTCTAGGGGTTGCGCAGCTTTGGGGGCGGGGCCCATGTGGGGCGGGGCGAACCTGTTTCCGGGTGGGCCAGGAGCACCGCCCACAAAGGGCCTACAAGACTTGGTGCTACGGGGGCCTCTGAAGGCCATAACTCATCCGTACCGCCTTTCTGCTGTCGCTTCTCCGATTTTACGGTTCTGGCTTCATTCCGAAACCCAGGTTTCTGCCCTAATCTGGTGTCGGTCTCAGTCCCATATACGATCGCTGCAAAACCTGACGCCGTGCAGCCATTGGACCCTTAGGTGTCTTAGGAGCCCTAAAGGCTCCCTCCCAAGCCTCCCTGCGTCTGTTGCTATGGCGACTGGGCGAGCGGCCGGAAACCAGGCTTAATTGAGGTCCGCCGGCTTCCTAGTAGCCGCGCTTCGCTGCCTGTGGCCGGGTGGGCTCCCGCGGAGTTGGGGAGGTTCTGGGACGCTGCATTAGGAGCCATGGACCTGGGGGAGAGGAGACCTTGGCCCAGGGCAGCTCCTGCAGCTCGTCGCCCCTAATTACCTATTCTGCCTAGGCTTTCGGGTGGGGCCGGGCCTGGAGGGAGGGCGTGCGGGACTGGGCGGGGGCGGGAGGAAGGAGGCTGCCAGGTTGGAGCTGGGTGTGTGAGTGCATGTGTGGAGCAGCCTTGGAGCGAGGTGTCCTGGGCCTGCGTGGGGGAAGATGGGAACTGTCCTCGAGCTGTGAGCGGGGCGGCTGGCTCTGGGGCCTGGCCCGGGCTGCGCGGGCGCGAGCGAGCCGCAGAGATGCCGGGCCGCTGTGTGGGGCCCAGCAGGTCCGGGCGCGGAGCTCGGCGGACCAGGGGGAAACGATGGGTTCCAGGGACGTCCCGAGGTCGAGGAGTGAGGCGCTGGCCGAGGTCCTCGGAGTGGGAGACGCGCTGTGTGTGTGCGGAAAGGGGGAGAAGACCAGCGGCGGAGACAGCCGAGGCCGCAGCGACGAACGAGGCTTCGTGGACACCTGGCCCTGCAGGCTCAATTGAGGCTGCAAGGGACGCTGGGGCTGTGTGGGTGAACGGGGCTGTGGGGGAACCCCAGGTGGTGGGGCCTGCTGGTTCTGTGTGGGTGACTGACACTGGGGAGGAGGAGCAGACAGTTTATAGGAGTCCCCGGGGCTGTGAGAGGAAAGGTCGTCCTGGATCTATGGGGCATGAGAGCATTCTGGAGCTGTGGTTGAAGGTGCAGGCTACGAGGGCAGCTTCAGGCTGTGGGGAAGGAAGCAGAGTCGAGCTCCATCCTGTACCTGCAGGAGAGGGGCCAGTTGAAAGGGGTATACCTGGCCGAGCTTCATGGGTAGAGACCAGCCGCGGTGGTCTCACAGGACCGTGGGTGGAAGGACAGGTCAGGACAGGCCCCCAGGCCTCAGGAGTATCTACAGCTACTGGCCTACGGGCAGGTTGTGAGAGGCCCTCAGGCTTGTGTGGGCTGGGACAAGCTGGTAGGGTGCCTCCTGAGGGTGTGCCTGGGACTGGGGAGACAAGTTCTGGGATTGCCCTACACCTGCTGGCGGGAGGACAAGCTGTGCAGGTGCCTGGGACTGTGGAGGAGATAGGCTGTGACGTTGCCCCAGGTCCTTGGGGAAAAGGACCCACTATGGGGGTGTCTGGGGCCATGGAGTGGCTTGAGGCTGTCGAGGGAGAGGTAGGCTGCGGGGGTGCTCCAGGTCTGTGGGAGAGAAGGCCGTCAGTACAGGTGCCTAGGGCCCGGGTTCAAGAGTCAGTCTTTGAGGATGCCTTGTGGGGAAGGGGACAGCCTGTGGAGTTACCCAGAGCTGTAGAGGAAGAAACTATCTCTGTGGGTGCTCCAGGCATATGGCAGAGGAGACAAGCTTTGGAGGAGATAGGCCCCGGGGGGATCCCTGACCTGTGGGGCACCGGACAGCCTGTAGGGGTACCTTGTGCCGTTGAAGAGGAAACTAGATGTGGTGGTGACCCAGGATTCAGGGAAAGGGGACAGGCTGTGTGGGTTGAGACAGGCTCTGCAGGTGACCCAGGGTCATGGGAAGCTGTCCAGGCTGCAGAGGTATGTGGTCCTGATGAGCAGGAGTCAGGCCCTGGGGGTGCTCCAGGCCTTTGGAGTGTAGGACAGGCTATGGGAATACCTAGGCCTTTGAGGAAGGAGGCAGGCTGTGGGGGTGTCCCAGGACTGTGGGGAACAGACCAGTCTGTGGGTGTGTCCCAGGCTGGGGTGGTACCAGGAGCTATAGGAGAACAGACACATGCTATCCCAGGCCTGTGGGACAGGCAGCAGGCTCCGGGGGTTCCTCTGGCTGATGCAGTGCCAGGGGTTGGGGCGGAGACACGCTGTGAGAATGTTCTGAGTCTGTGGGAAAGGAAGCAGGCTATGGGGAAGCAAGAGGCTTTGGTGCCTATAGCTTTAGGGGTGCCCGGGTCTGTGAATCAAGAGGCCAGCCATAGGAATGTTTCATGTCCGTGCAGGAGGAGACAGGTTTTGGATTTGGAGACAGTAGGGATGTCCGAGGCATCAGACATTCCCAAACACAGGTGTGGCCCCGCAGGGGTACCCACAGCGATGGGTGTGCCAGAGTCTGGAAGGGTGCCTGCCACTGTGTGGGTGTCTGGTTCTAAGTGTCCGGAGAGCAGCTGTAGAGATGTCTTGAACCTGTGGGAAAGAGTTCACACTACTCGGATACCCATGGCTTCAGGGCTCCCTGCGCCTTCTGAGGGACTGTTTTCTGTGAGAGACAATGCTGATTCTGCAGCTTCCCCAGGATTATGGGGAAGGAGACAGGTGGTTGGGGTTCCCGTGACTGATCGGGTTTCTGTGGCTCCTGAAGTACCTGGGCTTGTCGGGGAGGAGACTGGCTCTGGGGGTGTCCCAAGATCTTGGGGAAGGAGACAGAGTGTCAAGGTTCCTGTGGCTGTTGAGGTGCCCAGTGCTCCTAGGGTGCCTAGTCCTCTGGGGGTAGAGACTGGCTGTAGGGGTTTCTCACACTTGCCAGGAAGGAGACAGACTGCAGGAGTACCCGTGACTGCAGGGGTGTCCACAGCTGGTGGGGTGCCTGTGGCTCCCAGGGCACCTGGGCCTATGCAGGAGGAGTCTGGTTCTGGAGGTGTCTCAGGCTTGTGGGGGGAGAGAGAAAGAGGGCAAGGACCTGCAGATGCCAAGGGTCCCGCAAGGACGGTGATGCCCACCACTGCCAGGATGTCTGGGTCCAAAGCGGGAAAGATGGGCCCTGGGAGCATCTCATGCTTATCGGGAGGGAGAGACACTACAGGAGTATCCATGGTTGTGGGGCTGTGCACAGACCCGGGGCTGTCTGGGCCTTTAGGGGGCGGGACATTCTCTGGTGGTCTCTTGGGCTTATCAGGAAGAAGACAGACTGCTGAGATGCCTGTGGCTGCCCGAGTTTCCACAGCTGTGGGAGTGCCCACAGCGGCTGGTGTTCCTGGGCCGATGGTGGGTGATACTAGCTCTGGGGATGTCTCAGGCCTGTGGAGAAGGAGATCCAATGGAATAGTCCCTGAGGCTGTGAGGGTACCTCTGTCTTTGGGGGTGCTTGCAGGTGTAGGAGTTCCCATGGCGGGGCGTGTGCCTGCTGCGGTGTGGGTGACTGGGCCTACAGGAGAAGAAACCAATGCTGCGGTCTCAGGCCTCACAGTGGTGAGGAGACAGTCTGCAGAGGGACCTGGGGCTTCAGGGGAGGAGACTGGAGACAGAAGTATCCTGGGGGTGGCAAGGAGGAGCCAGGCAGCGGGGGTGTCTTACACCCATGGGCGCGGGACCAGGATGTGGAGCTGCCCAGGGTCTGTTGGGGAAGAAACAGACTATGAGAATGTGCCAGGAATGTCCGGGACAAGAACGACTGTGGGGATGAATGAAGCTGTGGAAGTGTCCCCGGTTTCGAGGGAGGAAGCAGGCATTGGCTGCTTCAGAGATCACCCACAGCAGGGAGGGAGGAGACGGACTGGGGGAGTGTCTGGAAGCAGAGTGAGGGGGGGCAGTTTGGGAGAAAGTTATGTGGAGGAGGACAGATTGAGGGGAGCATTCCAGTAGTATGTGTAGGGAACAAGTTGGGGGATCCTGGGACAGTTTGGGGGAGATTGGTCCTGGATTGTAGATGAAGGCACAGGCTGTAGGGTGTTTCAGGACCGGGGGAGAGATAACTGTGGAGAAGTCCCACGGTACATGGGGTAACAAATTGGGAGGTTTCCTGGAGCAATTGGAAAGGGACAGGTTGTAAAGAGAGTGGTGTCCCAGGACTTTGTACAGGGGAACAGTTTGTGTGTGTGTGTGTGTGTGTGTGTGTGTGTGTGTGTGATCACTCAGGTATCCTGGAACTGTGGGGAATCACCTGGTTTTGTTCCTGGTAGAGAACGGATTATCAGGCCTTTGGCACCCCGGGGGGAAGTGTCGACCACATAAAAGTTGCAGTTGCCCTGGCCCCAGTTCTGCAGACTATTCTGTGAACTGTGGTGATACCAAGCCAGTGGGGATTGCCTCGCTCATGTGCCTCCTCCCATCTTTGTTTTGGATCCTGCCTCTACAGCCTTAAAAATAAGGAATCTTGGACAGCTGCCTTTGTATTCCTTCAGACCTGTCTTTAAGCAAATCCAGTCTACAAATGTTGAGTTTATTCAGAAGCTTAAATGAGAGATTTTTGAAAATCTGAATTTCCCAATTAATTTACTATGGGATTCTTTGAGAGAACTCATTCCCCAATACATTTAACACTAGTCAGTTTATGGAAAATCAGCTTAATTCAACAAATGTTGAGTTAAATAGTCTACTATGCTCAAAGGACTGTGTTGTGGGACATATCAGAGAAGAGCAAGACAAGGCCCTTACCCTCAAGGAACCTTGTCTAGCTGGGAAGATGAGACATATCCCTGGGAAATAGGTAAATAACAACCTGAGACAAGTGTGTGATGAGTGCAGGATTAATGTCTATAGTGAGGCATTCAGAATAGGGAGAGGCAATAAATAATGCATATAGCCCATAACAGCTTACAGAACACTTTCGTGTCTTTTGTGTAGGGTGGGGGGAGTAGGGGGGATGAAGATTGGAAAGGTCATTATTCAGTTAGTTAATGGAAGATCCTGGCATAAATCTGGATATTCTGATAATGCAGGTTTACGTAGAGTCGTTCAGTTAGGTCTTTTTGAGCTACCTAGTAGAGGAAAACATGACTACTGTTTGACTAGTGGTTAAAACACCCTGCTGGCAAGTGCTTGTTGACCATAGCGCAATTCTATTTTTGGAATAATGTCTTACTAGAGACCCTTGAGATTTGAAATTGGGAATGAAAAGAGCTCAAGAGATTGTGGTTAAAACAGTGTGTCCCCCTATTTACTTGGAAAGTAAAATTTCAAAAGTGTACTTGCTTTTTTGTAAACGGAAGAAACGATTGTATACTTACCCTTAAGCATTCACTCTTTTTTTTTTTTTTTTTTTTTTTTTTTTTTTTTTTTAATCCTCACCTGAGGATATTTTTTCTATTTTTTGTACAGATAGAGCGGGAGGGAGAGAGTGGAAGGGAGAGAGAGAGAGAAACATCGACGTGAAGGGACACATCGAGTGGCTGCCACCCGCATGACCAACCAGGGCCGGGGACAAACTGCAACCGAGGTACGTGCCCCCAGCGGGAACCGAACCCGGGTCTCTCCGGACCGCAGGCCGACGCTCTAACCGCTGAGCCAAACTGGCCAGGGGCCATGCCCTTTTTTTTTTTTTTTTTTTTTTTATCCTCACCCGAGGCTATTTTTCCATTTTTTGTACAGATAGAGTGGGAGGGAGAGAGAGAAACATCGACGTGAAGGGCCGGGGACAAACTGCAACCGAGGTACGTGCCCTTAGCGGGAACCGAACCCGGGTCTCTCTCTACCGCAGGCCGACGCTCTAACTGCTGAGCCAAACCGGCCAGGGCGCATTCACTCTTTACTATGAGATTGCTATGGACTACTAGGACATTGTTATAGGAGCATGATACTGTGTTTTACTTACTCTTCCCCTTTGTTTGAAGACTCTTGGTCTGAAAGCTTTCTTTCATTTTAGGCAGTGGTTTTTGGGAAGAACTGTTGGCTGATAACTAGGCTCTCACTGTTGTTCTGCACTATCTGACACGATGGGACCAGGCAGACCAGCTTCGACCTGTGTTAACCTAGCCTCTGGTGTCCAGCTCGATGGGAGGAGTGACCCTTGGACACTTCAGACCCAGGTAGTTTTATTTTTTCCTTCATATGTTTATTATGAAACATTTCAGGCATAAGAGGTGAAAGGGCAAGAACACCTTTTTAATCTCCTTCTAGTTTCAACAATTATAACAATTTGTCCTACCTATTTTTCTACCTACCCTTCTCTCTCAAATTGTTGCAGCACCATTTCAAAGTAAGTTGCAGATATCACGACACTTCACTTCTAAATGTTTTAGAATACTGATCCTAAAAATAAACGCTTCTACTTAACCATTATACCATTATCACACCTAAGAAATTGCTAAAGAAATTTTCCTAATATTATCTAACAAATAGTCTTTATTGAACTTCACCCAGTTGTACCCAAAATGTCTTTACCTCCAACATCGTATTAGGAAAATCTTCAAATATACAGCAAAGTTGAATTTTACAGTGAATACCTAGATTACATTACTGTCTAACTGTGTTTGTTTAACTGCCTATCTGACCTTCAGTCCATCCCTCTAGGATCCATTCTTCATTCCATCTTATTTTTTGACATATATCAAAGTAAATTTCAGACACAAGTACCCAAACTACTTCAACATGCATATCATATACTAGAATTTGTTTTTTACCTTTTTTTCTTTCGATGTAAATTTTATATATGAAATGAACACATTGAAATGTATATGTCTTGTCACATTTGCTGAGTTATTTTTTTTTAAGAATTTTAAAAAAATTGATTTAATTTGCATCTCTCTGATGATTAGTGATGTTGAACATGTCTTCATGTCTCTTAGCCATTTGTATATCCTGTTTGGAGAGGTATCACCTCACACCGGTCAGAATGGCCACCATCAACAAATCATCAAACAACAAGTGTTGGCGAGGGTGTGGAGAAAAGGGGACTCTAGTACACTGCTGGTGGGAATGCAGACTGCTGCAGCCACTATGGAAAACAATATGGTGTTACCTCAAAAAATTAAAAATTGAACTTCCATTTGACCCAGTGATCCCACTTCTAGGAATATACCCTAAGAAGCCTAAAACACCAATCAGAAAGAATATATGTACCCCTATGTTCATAGCAGCACTATCTACAATAGCTAAGATCTGGAAACAGCCCAAATGTCCATTAGTAGACGAATGGATAGAAAAGCAGTGGTACATATACACAATGGAGTACTATGCAGCTGTAAGAAAGAAAGATCTCTTATCCTTTGAGACAACATGGAAGGGACCTAGAAAGTATCATTCTAAGCGAAACAAGCCAAACGGAGAAAGACAAGTATCATATGATCTCACTTATGTGGAATATAATGAACATAACAGCCTGAGGGACGGGGTAGTTCCAGAGACATGGAAGTGGGGTGCAGACTGACAATCAGCAGAAGAGGGGGTTGGGGGGAGATAAACCACAGAACTTACATGCATGTGTGCATGAACAATTGACATAGACAACAAAGCTGGGGACAGGGTGGAGAGGGTGGGGGAGGGGGCATCAGTGGGGGAAAAGGAGAAACATCTGTAACAAAAATAAATAATTAATTAAAAATAAATAAAAATTGATTTTGAGAGAGAGAGAGGGAGAGAAACATCAATATGAGAGTGGAACATAAGTTGGCTGCTTCCTGCACTCTCTCTATTGGGGTTTGAGCCCACGACCTGGGCATGTGCCCTGACCGGAAATCAAACCAGCAACCTTTCGGTGCACAAGATGATGCCCAACCAACTGAGCCACACCAGGCTGAGCAGTTTGCTGAGTTTTGACAGATGTATACATATGTGTAACTCGTACCTCTTTCAAGATGCAGATCATTTCCACTACCTCAGAAAGTTCTCTTATGCCCCTTCTTAGTCAGTCCCCACCCTACCCTGCACAGGCAACCCTGCTCTGACTTTTTTCCACCACAGATTGCTTTTCTCTGCTCTAGAACTTTATATAAATGGGATCATATGCTATGTACTCTTGGGAAAGGCTTTTTTTCCACTGGTATAATGTGTTTAAGATTCATCCATGTGTTACATGTATCAGTAGTTTTTTTTTTTTTAATACTGAGTAGTTAGTATTCCATAGCAAGAGTGTGCCACATTGTGTTTATCCATTCTGCAACTGATGGACAGGTGGGCTCTTGTTATTATAAATGAAGGTGATATGAACATTCTTGTACAAATCTCTTTATAAACATGTTTTTATTTCTCTTGGGTAAATACCTGGGAGTGAAAACTCTGGGTCATATGGTAGGAGGTGTGCGTGTGTGTGTGTGTGTGCGCACGCGCAGTTTTAATGGTTTTGTTGATTTTTAGAGAGAGGAAGGGAGAGGGAGAGAGAAAAACATCAATGTGAGAGCAAAATATTGATCTGCTGCCTCCTGTATGCCCCCTGCTGGGGATTGAGCCTGCAACCTGGCATGTACCCTGACCTGGAATTAAATCCGAGAACTTTTGATGTATAGGACAATGCTCAACCAACTGAGCCACACTGGCCAGGGCAAGTAGGTGTATATATATTTTTGAACAAACCAACAGAACTTTTTCCAAAGTGGTTTTACCATTTTAGATTCTTTCCAGTAATGAGTGAGAGCTCCTCAGTTGCTCCACATCTTGGCCAGCATTTGGTGTTATTTTTTCAATTGTAGCCATTCTGGTAGGTGTGTAGTAATATCTAATTGTAGTTTACAAAGAAAAAGTTTTTAAATTTTGACATAATTTTAGACTGACAGAAGAATTGTAAGAATACTACACAGTATTCCTGATACTCTTCTCCCAGATTCCCCTAATATTAACATTTTGTTAATTTTCTCTCCCTTTCTTCCTCTCTGTCCTTTTCTCCTCCCCCTGCATTATTCCTAAACAGAGTAAGTTGTTGACATGATGCCCTTTTATACAATCATAGGACAGTGATCAAATTCAGGATATTAACATTAAAATAATACTGAGAACTAGAGGAATATAGGAAACGTGACTGTGTTAAGTGAAAAATGAAACGGCCCTGGCTGGTTTGGCTCAGCGATTAGAGCATCGGCCTGCAGTCCCGAGAGACCTGGGTTCGGTTCCCGCTAAGGGCACGTACCTCGGTTGCAGTTTGTCCCCGGCCCTGGTTGGGTTGTGCGGGTGGCAGCCACTTGATGTGTCCCTTTCACATTGATGTTTCTCTCTCTCTCCCTTCCACTCTATCTGAACAACAAAATGGAAAAATGTCCTCAGGTGAGGATAAAAAACAAAAAACGACTTGTATCTATTGTGATTAAAACAGACAAAACCTAAGCCTGTATAAGAAGGTGTAAGTGGAGTGTTTAGAGCAAGGTGAACTTAGGTGCGGGGTAAGAGATGTGGTCCACCTACCGGCTGAAAAATCTCAGGAACACCTGAAGAGAGACTGTCAACTGGCTTAGGTCTGGTGTGGCTGTGTGGTGTGTCTGGGAGCAGTGTTTGGGAATGCTCATAATATATTTTGTGGTCACTAGCCAGAACCTGATATTTTGAAACAGAACAGAAGTCTATAACTGAGGAGTTGAGAAACACTTGTTGTGCTGGGAGCTTTTTGGGTTGATGCTGAGTGGGGCATACCAGTATGCTCTTAGTAAAGAGAAGGAGCAGACTGTGGGCCTGAGTGAATGGAGGGTGGAACCGGGGTTGTGTGATCAGTTCAGGGTATAGGAGAGTGACTTATTATACCAGTACAAAATACAAATGCCTTTTAGCATTAATAATTGTGTGGGTAAATTTTTAGAAACTTGATTGTAGACATATACCAGCTATGCAATATGTTTTTTGTCTAATGAGTGCTTTTATTTATTTATTTTAAACAACCAGCTGCAGTTTAATAAGAATGTTCCTGCACATCCAAGCAACCTGGCAGTCCAGTATTCCTGCCCACATGCCATTAAAATTGAAAAACTGAAGCAGTCGCACAGTGAGTCAGACCATTGTAAAGATTTGGATTTCAGAAATGGTCTCGACCTGAACAGTTCTGTTTCATTTTCTGTCATATCGGAAGAGAGACTTAGCTATGCTGTCCACCTGGCCAAAAGAGATATGAAACGAAGACACTTCGAAGAACATGTAAAAAAGCATCACCTCACAGGTCAGCCCCAAATCTATCAGAAATGTGGATACACCAAGCATAAAAAGTCTGACCTTGGACTGGAAAGGAAGGAATTGAAGAATGAACAAGTTTTTCATTGCAGCCACCAGCCATCCAAAGTAGAAATTTCCAACTCAGGGGCCAAGGTTTGCGTATACTCATCTCACGCAGGACAGTCAGATGTGACCTTGCCAAATTCACCACCCACCCACGATCTCGGACTTCAGCCACACGGCAGGCCAGGTGACCACAAAAGCCTCTGTGAACCCAGAAGTCTGCTAGAAATTCAGCGACTCCAGAAAATATTGAGCAATTGTATCCATAAAATTGAAGAAGTAACAAAAGAAGGTGAGACAAATTGGTGAAAGTGGGATAGTTCAAATATATTCATTCTTTTGAGGTCTCCGCCCCATCACATTCCACTCCCTCTGTCCATGCGGCCAGCACTCCTGACCAGACAGGTAGGCTTTGAGTTTGAGATTTTTCTGAAAAGTCTTCCCTGTGCTAGCCCCTCCTTCCAGCGGAGGCACCGCCATAGCTCCTTTCCTGGGAGCTGCTCATGGTAACGGACTGACCAAGGGCCCAGCCTAGGGGTTGGGGGACCTGCTCTCAGAACCTCAGGTCTTCTGGCACCAGAGTGCAAGTTATCCTGTGATGTTCTGCTTTACCCAGTCCTTCTGACAAAATTATTTTTAATTTGTCCAAAAAAGAACACAGTATATATACATTTTAGATGGAACCAGTTTCAATTTAGACAATGTTTATCTGGGTACACAGCATTGACAAGAGGAATGGTGGATATACATGAAAATATCTGACCACAGGGTAGAAAGGAAGGTGTGTAGTCACCATATACCGTTTTCTACAGTTCTTCAGTGTTCGCTATGCCCCTGTGTTCCCCCCGTGAGTAGAGCATTGATCCCATGTGGAGGGTTTAGGGTTACCACCGGGGAATCTGGCCCAGCTCAGGCTGCAAGGAGTAGGGAGCTGAGCATCGCATAGACCTACTCTGATAGGATAGTACATAGTCTGTGATGATCTTTGTCATTATAATGTTAATTTATGCTTATATACATATACGCATGATACGTGAGGAATTTAAGGTGCCTTACAAAAATACCTGTGGTTGAACAAGCTAGAGCAAACATGTACAGGAGAATTTTGTGACACAGGAAAACATAAGGAAAAGAAAACAAAGATTTATTAAGGATGGGATACAAATTTGTTTCTGAGCTTCCTAGCAGCCAGCTAAAGAGGAAAGTGGTCAGTTGCAGAATTTACAGTCTAAAACAGGAAAAACAATTGTGTAAGGAAAACAATTATTGCCCATATTGAGGCCAGAAAAAAATTTCTATGGGCTTTCATAAAGAGTATGTTGTATACTATGATGAACAATTAATATCCCTACATAAAGATAATGAGAATGTTAGATTCGTTCTTGTAACATTGCCTAGTGTCAGTCTGTGGCATGACTCCGTGGCATACTTTGGTAGAAGCTGTGCTCCCAGGCAATAAAAGGTACGAGGCCCACTGCTCTGAGGATGTGGTTTAATACAGGGGACCTTTAGAGCAGTGCTTCTCAAACTCATTATGGGGAAGGACTGGGGTGGGTTTTTGTTTTAATCCAAAATGTCAGTCTCTTGCAAATCAATACTTTCTAAACTATAATAAAAATGTCACAACGGCCCTGGCCGGTTTGGCTCAGCGGTTAGAGCGTCGGCCTGCGGTCCTGAGAGACCCTGGTTCGGTTCCCGCTAAGGGCATGTACCTCGGTTGCAGTTTGTCCCCGGCCCTGGTTGGGTCGTGTGGGTGGCAGCCACTTGACGTGTCCCTTTCACGTCGATGTTTCTTTCTCTCTCTCTCCCTCCCACACTCTATCTGAACAAAAAATAGAAAAAATGTCCTCAGGTGAGGATAAAAAAAAAAAAATGTCACAACGGCCCTGGCCGGTTTGGCTCAGTGGTTAGAGCGTCGGCCTGCAGTTCAGAGAGACCCAGGTTTGGTTCCTGCTAAGGGCATGTACCTCGGTTGCAGTTTGTCCCCGGCCCTGGTTGGTTGTGCGGGTGGCAGCCACTCGATGTGTCCCTTTCACATCGATGTTTTCTTTCTCTTCCTCTGTCTCCCTCCCGCTCTATCTTAACAAAAAGTGGAAAAATGTCCTCGGGTGAGGATAAAAAAAAATTTTTTTTAAATGTCACAACAATGGCATATTGCTATAACAATCTGTAAATGCATACTTTTGATTTCTCTACTTAGCTTGTCATGGACTGATGCCCACCTGTGCTTCTAAGTGCTGCTGTGCAGACTGGTTCCATCAGAATTGTCTGCAAGGGGGAGGTAGAAGAGGGTTAGATGGCGGGGATAGATGGTGATGGGTGGAACCATGGTGCAGCTCAGTTGGTCGAGTGTCATCCTGTGCACTGAAAGGTTTCAGGTTCGATCCCCTGTCGGCAGGTGTGGGGGGCAACTGATTCATGTTTCTTTTTTCCTCCCGCTTCCCTCCTCTCTCAAAAGTCAATAAGAACATTAAAAAAAAAAATGCTGATGAGCCCTGGCTAGTTTGACTTAAGGGTAAGAGCGTCGGCCCACAGACTGAAGGGTTGCAGGTTCAATTCCTGGTCAAGGGCATGTGCCTGGGTTGCAGGTTTGATCCCCAGCCCTGGTTGGGGTCTTGCGAGAGGCAACCAATCAATGTGTCTCTCTCACATCGATGGTTTGCTCCCTCCCTTCTTTCTACTCTCTAAAAAAATCAGTGAAAAAAATATCCTCAGGTGAGGATTAACAACAACAAAAAATGGTGATGGAAGGAGACTTGACTTGGGATGATGAACATACAATATAAAATACAGATGATGTATTATAGATTCGTGCAATTTTATTAACCAGTGTCACCCCACTAAAAAAGTAAAAAGGAATCATCTGCAGAGGAGCAGTTAAAAACCCCGCCCTAGACAGCTACCACTGAAGTAAGTACGTGAGTCAGAGTTTCTCCACGCTGTGTAGCCCAACAAGGCAGAGAAACAGTCGGCTTGCGGGCTCCTCTGAGACTGCATCTGTGTCCACAGCTCCTTGATTTCAGACTTTTGATTTCTTCAAAAATATCTTCATTAGCCCTGGCTGGTTTGGCTCAGTGGTTAGAATGTCAACCCAAGGACCAATGAGTCACGGGTTCGATTCTGGTCAAGGGCATGTACCCCAGTTGCAGTTGGTCCCCGGCCCTGGTAGGGGTCATGCGGGAGGCAACCAGTCAATTTGTCCCTTTCATGTTGATGTTTCTCTTTGTCTCTCCCTCCCTCCCTCCCACTCTATCTGATGATAAATAGAAAAGTAATCTCGGGTGAGGAATAAAAAAATATATCTTCATTAGTTGGCTTTTTAATGAGTAAATATTAAACATTTGAATTTATAAAATATAAAGCACTGCTTTTATCTGACTTATTTAATGGAGTTTTGCATAAGAATTTGTATCGTATAAACATATTTGAAAACCCCTAACTGGAAGAAACGGTGGGTCACACATCCCTCCGGCAATCTTCCAGAAACAGTTTCTCTGAACTAACCTTTTGAAAATGTGGAACACCCATATATACGAGGTGTGCTTCCTAACCAGTGCATGAAGGCTTCAGACGTTCAGTGGTCTTCATATGTTGGAGAAAGGATGTCTCTCTTGGATTCAAGAAAAGAAAGAGCAAAAGAAATCTTGCTAAACATAAAAATGGGCCAATAAAGGGTTTTTGGAAAAGTAGAAAGCATTACAGATTTTGGCTCAAGATAAAGAATTTAAAATAGTAAAGGGTGCCCTGGCCGGTATGGCTGAGCAGTAAGAGCATTGCCCGCAGACCAAAGAGTGCTGGGTTAGATTCTGGCCAAGGGAAAGTAACTCGGTTGCGGTTCATCCCGTCCCGGTTGGGGTTGTGTGGGTGGCAACCAATCGATGTCTCTCCCCCACATTGATGTTTCTCTCTCTCTTCCTCCCACTCTCCCTCCTGCTGTATCTGAAGATTAATGTAAAAATATCCTCAGGTGAGGATAAAAAATAATAATAATAAAAATGAAATAAAATAGTAAAAGGTACCTCACAGTGGAGCAGGCTGTCCAGTAGAGTTTGGTTCAGGGCATCCATGGAGGGAGCTTGACCTGGTTAATGTCTTCACGGCCTTCCCACCTCTGTGCCAGTACACAGGCCCCCCCCCCCCCCCCCCCCCCCGTTCCTAATATCTTGGCTGATGAAAAATGACTTTTTTTTTTGTCTTTTTTTTTTATCCTCACCCAAAGACATTTTTGCCTTCATCTTCAGATGGGGGGGGAGGGGACATCAACGTGAGAGAGACACACTGACTGGTTGCCACCCACACGACCCCAACCGGGTCCGGGGACAAACTGCAACCGAGGTACGTGCTCTTAGCGGGAACCGAACCTGGGATTCTCCGGTCCACAGGCCAACGCTCTAACCGCTGAGCCAAACTGGCCAGGGCAAAAATGACATTTGCTGTTACGACAGCCTCATTGTTTTTTTTAAAGTAGAGATCTTCAACTTTATTATCTCTCTGAGTAATTGAAATTTTTATAAGTTTTCGTTTGGTTTCTAATCCACTTTGGGTGGGGGAATATTTTCAGGTAGAATGCAGGAAGCCTTGGATCCAGATGAAGAACGGCGAATCCGTGTCAGGAGGCAGGAGCAGGCTGCTCGGTCCGCCCGCATGCTCTATGTCCTCCAGCAGCAGGTAGGACCGCAGGGAGGAGTGGGACACGGCCTCGTGCGTGACCTTGTAAGAGGATTTGTTTTCCGTTTGTTTCAGGGGTAGTAGCTCTCTACAGTGTCCTCCATGAATTCTAACCTGACTGTGAAGCTAAGTTTCCTGAACACATGGACGAATAATTCTTTTTCTTTTTGTCATCTGCCTGTATGTGCGTTTGTGTATTGTGTATATATAGCCAAACTCTTTGAAGAGTGGTTTTTGACTTTTTGGTGTCCTAGTCTCTCTTGAGAATCTACTAAAAGCCAGTGGGGCTTTTCCCCAGAAAAAAATGCTTATACAGCATATATTTTTAAGAATGGAGTCAAGGGGATTAGCTACCCTAAAACTCTTTGTCTTTCGCTTCTAAGATATCCTAATCTTAGAAGAAAGGGACCGTTTTAGTTTCCCATTTGTCTCATGTTTATTATATACTGAAGTTAGTAGTAGTAAATAATTTGTTCGTCTTTATTGAATAGGAAAGAATGAAGACCATGTTAAGTGTCTTTCTGGACACATTTGGTGGCTGATAAATGGGCATTTACATTGTTTATGGGTAGATTTTTTTCAAAAAATGTTTTAACTTTAAGGCCTTATTAATAAGTCTTTAACTCAGTTCTGGTCCCTTAAGACATATGTTGGCCTTATTGCTTGAACCAAAAATTGGACTTTTTTTTAAAAGAAAATGTGTATTAAATTTTGTTCTGTATTCTTTTTGGGTTCTATTTTGGTCCTTACTCTATATTGCTACCATAGAGATTGTTTTAAAACATGAATTTTACCCTGTCAGACCTCTGCTTAAAAGACTTTGGTGGTCCTTTGTAACGTAGAGGATGAGCGCTAAGTCTTTCAGCATGGCGCCGAAGACATGATCTGGCCCCCTGCCTCTCCAGAGGCACCTCCACCTTCGTCCACGTTTCATTCCTAGTACTCTGGGGACCGAGGGACGGAAGGTGAACACTGTGCTCTATTCGCCATCTTGAACTGGAAACCAGTCACTATTTTGGGGGTGCGTGAATGAAGAACCTTGTCTCATTTTCAAGTGACTTGAATCAATAATGGTTATATTTGGACATGAAAAGCTGTGTCCTTTTCTATGAAAAAGGTCACTGGAAAGGTACAAAGTTTTTAAATTTTCCCTCTTTACAAAACAGGTTAAAGAAATCCAGGAAGAATTGGATAAATTGAGTCCACATAAAATTAAACACACTAAGAAGGTATGATGCAATTCCATTATGATTAATAATTATTTATAAGTGAGATTTCCAATGTTTTGTCAGTATCGTGTGTGTTCTCTGCACTAATACTGTTTCCAGTGCTTGAAGAAACCTGTGAGTGAGGGCATGAGCACCTTAAATATTCTGAATTTGGGGGTGTCTTCCAAGGAACAGGTTCTGAGAATAGATTTTTGTTGTTGCTGCTGCTGGTATAAGAAACTGAGAATAGGAAGGAAAAAACTTTGTCATTAGGAAATCTTTAAACGTTACAATTCCCTTTACTATGAAAAAGTTTTCACAATGGAAATAGTTTCATATAGAAATAAGAGAGACTCTAAATATTCTTAACGGTGGGGTTAATTAATGTCTAGAAGTTCTGAATATTGAAATAACTTCTCACATTCCATTTATTGGCAGTCATGGGCAATGTCCAGGCTGGCATCAGCCCATCGAGGAGCCATTCGGGCCTTACAGACATTTGTCATTCAGCTTGCTGACCGAGGGGAGCACCCAGTCCCTGCTCAGTATAGGGAACTGGGCAGTCTTATCCGACAGCTGTCACTCTGTTCTGCCAAGGTGGAAGCTGATTCTTATGTTGCTGATGTGGTTATAGATATTCTGCAACAAATTGAGGTATGAAATTGACTCTTATTTTTGTTCAAAGTAAACAGTTTCTTTTGTTTGTTTATTTGATTTTGGAGGAAAGGGGAGAGCTAGAGAGAGAGAAACATCAAAGTGAGAGAGATACAGCTATAGGTTACCTCCTGTATGTGCCCTGACCAGGAATCAAACCTGCAACCTAGGTATGTGCCCTGTCCGGGAATTGAACCCAGAACCTTTTGGTGTACGGGACAATGCTCCAAACAGCCGAGACACCCAGCCAGGGCAAAGTCATTGTTTCTAAGCAGGAAAATAATGCTTCCCGTGTCCAAGTTTCATTGAGATTTATGGAGATAACAAAGCTGCTACACCTGGTAAATTCAAGTTTTACCGAAGGCAGGAAAAGGACTTCATTTTATTTATTTATTTTTATCGTCTAGCCTATAATATTGTACTTCACTTCTTTGAGACTTGGTGGCTTGAGTCTAGAACATGTAACAACTCTTAACCAGGCCCGTTAATTAAAAAGAATTTTCCATTTCCTGACTGTGCCATTTGATAAAGAGTTTATTAGCATGGAAAAGGAAAACAGTAAAGCAATCTTAAATCATTGTTTTAATTAGAATATCAGTATGTAATCTAGAGAGATTTTTGGGAAAAGGAGACATTTTAAGATACATGGAAGCAGAGCCTCAAGTCTTGTTGTATGGCCAGAGGCTTCTGGAAATCCCAGCCGGTGTGTACTGGTCAGGAATGAATAGTGTTAGTGTTCTTACTGGTGACAAAGACAACAAGGTCACTCTGGCCTTAAATCTTGATAGTTTTCCAAAGTTCGCAGAGTGCTACCACATAACTTTGCCATTTTATCTTTACTGTAGTGTTGTGATTTGCCGTAGGTTTTATTTTACAGATAAAATTTTTTTTAAAAGCCAAGGTTAGAAAAATGACACAATTACTTGAGAGCTGGGAGTCAAATCCCTATCTTCTGATTCCATGCCACTGGTATTTCCACTACACCCACATTTTCATCCGCAAATAAGAAGACAACCCGTATGTCAGTATGATATAGTAAGCTGTGGACCAGAGAGGAAAGGTGCGTAGTGGGGAAAATCATGGACTAATTGACATACCAGTTTACCATTAACCAGCCCTTGGTGGTCTTTAAGGCTCCTTGTACCTTAACAATTTCATTATCCAGCAAATATGTTTGTGAATGCATTGGTTACATTTGTGTATATAGAAATCTCTATCAGGAAAGTTACTGTCCAATGCAGACCTGTAGACAGCATATCAAATCATGTGATGCTTTTTAAACTTACCTATAAGAAACATTTATTGGTCAAAATGTTTTCATTTAGAGGACATATCTTTATAATCCTAGAAAAAGATCTCGGGAGATTATTCAGGCCCTTTCCCAAATTTTGAGTAAGAGTGCTTAACATAATGTTTCTTAAACATAATGTTTATCTCTCCTACTTTTGAAAGTATTCAATAGTATTCAGAGTGACCTTGTTGTCTTTGTCAGCAGTAAGAACATTAACACTATTCATTCCTGACCAGTACACACCAGTATTCTTTTCTTATTGATGTACTGTACCATACCATAGCTTATTTTTTTATTGCCTTACTGTCATCTGAACTAAATCTCCTTGGCTTTGTTCAGTTGTCCTTAACGTGTACTGGCCAGGTGGAGACTAGGCCTTCCTGCCTGGTGATGAGTGAGGGGGTACTTTGTTAGAGGACGTGCCTCTTTTAGAAAGGGCGGGGGCACAGATCTCCTGCCATAATACGCAATATGAAAATGCATATTAAAATATAGTCTGTTTGCCCACTTAAAATATTATTTGAGTTTATGAGGTCTTTATTGAGAATTAAAATGCTTTTAAAGTACATAGGTTTATATCCTGAAAACTATGGTTAGTATCTAAAATGTGATCCTTAATTTCAGGATTTGAATGCCTTTAAAAGTATTCATATTCTTTATCTTTTTTGCTATTAGTTTTAGTGAGCTTAACATGTTAAAAACATGCAGAATTCCTTTAATTAATTTGGTGTCCTAAATAATAAAGTTTTCAATTAAGTTAAGCAATATTTTCTTAATCATTAGAGATAGCCATTTAATAACACATTTCTCTGGAGTCTTAACTTTGAATTTTGTGATTAAAAGCCAGACTTTTTAATCACTAATAAATAAACTAAAATAATAATTGACTGTTTCACGGCAGGCTTTGGAATCCCTCCTGGAAAAGAAACTGTCACCAAAAAAGGTGAAGAAAAGTTTCACTGAAATTAGGAGCAGATTTCCTATTGGTAACTCACGGTCCTTGGAAAGATGGCCAAGTTCATTGCCAAAGAGCGAGAGGAGACCCTTCGTAACAAAAAAGATGTTTCCACAGGAAACAAGACAACCTTCAATGGCGAAGAAGGTTCTTGCTGGTATGTGTCCTAAAGTGTTCATTGGAAGGTATTTTATTCTTTAAAATTGTCTGGACTGGAACAGTTGCTACACTGAGGGGAAAGTTAGGATTCAAAACCTAGTCCAAGAAAGTATACTTGAACTAGGACAAGTGGATCGTAACCAAGACGCTTCCTTAGGTTGAGGCTGGAGTATTCTTCCATGGGGGAGGGTGGAAAAGTAAAATTCCTGTTTCCTACATCATAGTGTTTGGGCTACCCAAAGTAAATTTTTACAGAGCTGGAAGTTAGAGCCTTACTTTTAATTCTCATTTTAACGGTAGGTAGGTAGGTAGGTTGCTAGGTAGGTAGGTAGGTAGGTAGGTAGATAGACAGACAGACAGACAGACGTATATATTCACACACATTAGATATATATGTATCTTTTTTCATAGGTGATCAATTTTTGTTATTCTAAGAAGTGAAATTTCTAGCTTATATGGTGTGCACATTTAGACATATTGCCAACTTGCCCTTGAAAATGGGCATATAATTATGTTTTGACTAGCAGTGATCATCAGTATATAGTTCTCTATGTCTTTGCCAGGTACTTTTTAAAAAAATATTTTTTTCTTCATTGATTTTTAGAGAGAGAGGAAGGGAGAGGGAGAGAGAGATAGAAACATTGATGAGAGAGAACATGGATTGGCCGCCTCCTGCATGCCCCTCACTGGGGGTCAGGCCCACAACCTGGGCATGTGTCCTGAATGGGAATCGAACTGGCAACCTCTTGGTACATGGGTCAATGTTCAACCACTGAGCCACACAGGCCAGACTCTTATTGTGGTTTTAATTTGCATTTTTCTGATGACTAGTGATGTGGAGCATCTTTTCATGTCTATTGTTCATCTGTATGTTCTCTTTGGAGAAGTGTCTATTCAGGTCCTTTGACCAATTTTTAATTGGATTGTTTTGCGTTTTTAGTATTAAGTTGTATGAATTATTTATAAATTGTGGATATTAACCCTTTATCAGATGAATCATTGGTGAATATCTTCATCCATTTGGTTGTTTTTTTCATTTTGTTGATAATTTCCTTTGTTGTGCAAAAACTTTGTTTGATATAGTTTCTTTTTTTTTTTTTCTCCTTTTTTCTTTTGTTTTCCTTGCTCGAGGAGATATATCAGAAAAAACATTGCTAAGAGATATGTCAGAAATTTTACTGCCTATGTTCTCTTCTAGGAGTTTTATGGTTTCAAGACTTGACATTTAAGTATTTAATTCATTTTGAGTTTATTCTTGTATATGTGTAAGAAATTGGTCTAGTTTTATTATTTTTTTGCATGTATCTATCCAGTTTTTCCAACACCATTTATCGAATAGACTGTCTTTATCTCATTGTATGTTCTTGCCTCCTTTATCAAATATTAATTGGCCATATAGATGTGAGTTTATTTCTGGGCTTGTATTCTGTTCCATTGATCTACACATCTGTTTTTATGCCAGTACCATGTTGTTTTGATTACTATAGCCTTTTAGTATATAGTTTGATATGAGGTAGTGTGATACCTCCAACTTTGTTCTTTTTTTCTCAAGATTGCTGTGGCTATTTGGGGTCTTTTATGGTTCCATATAAATTTTTGGATTATTTTCATTCTGTGATAAACGCCAGTGGTATTTTGATAGGAATGGCATTGAAACTATAGATTGCTTTGGGTAGTGTGCACAATTTAATGATGTTAATTCTTTCTATCCATGAGCACAGTATATGCTTCCATTTATTTGTTTCTTTTTCATTTTCTTTCTTCAATGTCTTATAATTTTCTGAGTACAAGTCTTTTACCTCCTTAGGGTTTTTTTTTTTTAATGTAGTTGTAAATGGGATTGTTTTCTTTTTTTTTTTTTTATCCTTACCCGAGGACATTTTTCCATTTTTTGTTCAGGTAAAGTGGGAGGGAGAGAGAGGAACAGAGAGAGAGAGAGAAACATCGATGTGAAAGGAACACATCGAGTGGCTGCCACCCGCACAACTGACCAGGGCCGGGGACAAACTGCAACCGAGGTACGCACCCTTAGCGGGAACCGAACCCGGGTCTCTCAGGACTGCAGGTCGACGCTCTACCCGCTGAACCAAACCAGCCAGGGCTGGGATTGTTTTCTTAGTTTCACTTTCTTATAGTTCATTATGGGTGTATAAAATGCAACCAATGTCTGAATATTTATTTTGTATCCAGCTACTTTCCTGAATTCATTTATTAGTTTAGTAGTCTTTTTCGTGAAATCCTTAGAGTTCTCTGTGTACAGTATCATGTCATCTGCAAATAATGACAGTTTTACTTCTTCTTTTCCAATTTGGATGCCTTTTATTTCTTCTTCTTGTCTGATTGCTGTGGCTAGGATTTCCAGTGCTGTGTTGAGTAAGAATGGTGAAAGCAGACATCCCTGTCTTGTTCTCAATCTTAAGGGAAATGCTTTTAGGTTTTTGAGTATGATGTTGGCTGTGGGTTTGTCATATATGGCCTTTATTATGTATGTATGTATGTATGTATGTTTTTTTTTAAAATTTATTTATTTATTTATTTTTCTTAATTGATTTTAGAGAGAGAGAGAAAAACATTGATGAGAGAGAACATCAGTTGGCCACCTCTTGCATGCCCCTTACTGGGGATCGGGCCCACAACCTGGGCATGTGCCCTGACCAGGAATCGAACTGGCGACCTCTTGGTGCATGGGTCGACACTCAACCACTGAGCCACACTGGCCGGGTTGGCCTTTATTATGTTGAGGTATATTCCTTCTATTCCCACTTTGCTGTAACTTTTTATCATAAATAATGCAAGATTTTGTCAGTGCTTTTTCTGCATCTATTGATATTATCATACAGTTATCTTTTATTTTGTTTATGTGGTGTGTCATGTTATTTGATTTGTGCTATTATACCAACCGTTCATTTCAGGAATAAATTCCACTTGATAATGGAGTATGATCTTTTTAATGTGTTGCTGACTTTGGTTTGCTAATATTTTGTTGAATATTTCTGCATCTGTGTTCATCAGGGATATTGGCCTATAATTTTCTTTCTTTGTTGTATAAAATGAACTTGGGAATCTCACTTTTTCTTGAATATTTTGGAATAGTTTGAGAAAGATAGGTGTTAGTTCTTTGAATGTTTGGCAAAATTCACTTATGAAGCCATCCTGTCCAGGACTTTTGTTTGTTGGGAGTTTTTTTTATTCCTGCTTTGATTTTGTTGGTTGTAATCACTGTTCAGATTTTCTATTCCTTTTTGATTCAGTTTTGGAAGATTGTATGTTTCTAGGAATTTATCTGTTTCTTCCAAATTGTCCGATTTGGTGCCATATAGTTGTTCATAATATTTTCTCATAATCCTTTGTATTTCTGTGGTGTCAGTTGTTACTTCTCTTTCATTTCTGATTTAACTTATTTGGGTCCTCTCTCTTTTTTTCTTGATGAGTCTGGTTAAAGGTTTAGCAATCTTGTTTATCTTTTCAAAGAAGTAGCTGTTGGTTTTATTGATTTTTTTTTTTTTTAATCCTCACCCGAGGATATTTTTCCATTTTTTGTACAGATAGAGTGGGAGGGATAGAGAGAAACATCGACGTGAAGGGACACATCGAGTGGCTGCCACCCGCACGACCAACCAGGACCGGGGACAAACTGCAACCGAGGTACGTGCCCTTAGCGGGAACCGAACCCGGGTCTCTCCGGACCGCAGGCCGACGCTCTAACCGCTGAGCCAAACTGGCCAGGGCGATTTTTTTTTTTAATATTGTTTTTTAGACTTTGTTTTCACTTCGATCTTTATTAGTTCCTTCCTCTGTTTACTTTGGGTTTTGTTATTCTTTTTCTAGTTCCTTTAGGTGTAAGGTTAGATGATTTATTTTAAGTTTTTCTTGTTGCTTGAGGTATGCCTGTATTGCTGTGAATTTCCCTTTCAGGACTGCTTTCTCTGTGTCCCATAGATTTTGAGTTGTTGTGTTTTCATTTTAATTTTTCTCAAGGTATCTTTTGAGTCTTCCTTAATCTCATTATTAACCCATTCATTGTTTAGTAACATGTTATTTAGCCTCTGTGTATTTGTGTTTTTAAATATTTTTTCTTATCATTGGTTTCTAGTCTGATACCATTGTGGTTGGAGAAGATGCTTGATATGATTTCAATCTTCTTAAATTTATTGAGACTTGTTTTGTGTCCTAACATATCTATCCTGGGAAATGTTCCATGTGCTCTTGAAAAGAATGTATATTCTGCTGCTTTGAGGGTGAAGTGCTCTGAAAATATAAATTAAATTCATATGGTCTACTGAGTCATTTAATGCCACTTTTGTTGATTTTCTGTCTGGAAAGATCTATCCACTGATGTCCATGTGGTGTTAAAATCCCCTACTATAACTGTGTCATTGTTGGTCTCTCCCTTTGTGTGTGTCAGTATTTGCTTTATATATTTAAGTGCTCCTATGTTGGGTGCATACATTTTTACAAGGGTTATATCCTCTTGTTGGATAGATTCCTTTATCATTATGTAATGTCTTTCTTTTTCTCTTATTATACCACTGAGTTCATCCATTCTTCCCCTATGTTTCTTGAGTATCCTTATAACCACTGTTTTTGTATTCTGTATCTAGTAGATTGTGTGCCTTCATTTTATTTAGTTTTTGTTTCTGGGGATTTTTCCTATTCTTTCATTTGGGGCATGTTTCTTTGCCTCCCATTTTGGCTGCCTCTCTGTGTTTGGTTCTGTGTACTGGTAGATCTGCTGTGTCTCCCAGCCTTGGTAGGGTGGCCTTATGTAGTAAGTGTCCTGTGGGGCTCAGTGGCACAGTCTCTCTGATCATCTGAGCTAGGTGGTCCAAAATTGTCACTTGTGTGAGTTATGTGAGCCCTCCTGTTGTAATTGAATCTTTTTTGTTGTTGTTAATCCTCACCCAAGGATATTTTTTCCATTGAGTTTTAGAGAGCATGGGAGGGAGGGAGGGAGGGAGGAAGGAAGGTAGAGAGAGTGAGAGAGTGAGAGAGAAACATTGATGGAAAGAGATGAGGGAGACATATCTATTGGTTGCCTCCCACACGTCCCCAACAGGGGCAGGGGATTGAACATGCAACCCAGGTATGTACACTTGACTGGGAATCAAACCCACAACCCCTCTGTCCGTGTCTGAAGCTCTAACCACTGAGCAAAACTGGCCAGGGCTGATAAACAGAATTCTTAATTTCACAGTAGTCCAATGTCGAAATCTTTTTCTAAGTTTTTGTATCTTTTTTTTTGTATCCTGTTTAAGAATCTTTTTCCTGTGCCAAAGTTAAGAAGACATTTTCTATATTATTTCCTAGAAAAAAGTTTCATACTATTTCCTAGAAAAAAGTTTCACTATCTTCCCCCTGGATATCCTGTTGAACTAGCACTATTGTTGAAAGGATTATTTTCTCCCCTTAGTGGCAGGCATATAGTATCACTTTTATCATAAATTAACCATCTGCACATGTGTGGGTCAGTTTCTTGGCCCCCCCATTCTCTTCCACTGATCTAGTATTGGTTCTTATGCTAGTGTACACTGTCTTAATTATTCTGTGTCTTGATATCCAGTAGAATAACATTGGCACCTATTATTCTTCCAGAATGTCGTGGCTAATCTTGACCTTTGGTATTTCTATAGAAATCTTAGCATCAGAATTTATCAAGTTACCCCAAAAACAACAATAAAAATTACCCAACCTATTGGAATTTTGATGAGGAATTGATATTTTTATAATACTGAATTTCTCAGTCCACAAACAGGATATATCCCTCCATTTATTTAGGTTATCTTTAAATGCTCTCAGCAATTTATAGTGTGTGTGTATGGTTTTGTTAATCTTTCATTAGATTTTATTCCCTGGTATTGCTATTTTCAATTCTCTTGTAGATGATATCTTTTTAAAATTTTAATTTCTAATGTGCATTGCTGACATGTAGACATACAATTGATTTTATGTATTGCTTTTCTATCTAGCAACCTTGCTAAGCAAATTTATTTCTAATAATTTATCTGGAGATATTTGTGTTTTGCTATGTAAATAATCATATCTTCTATGAATAACTATTGGTTTATTTCCTCCTTTTCAATCTTTATTTCTTTTTCTTCTATAGTATTCTGGTTTTATATACTGATCTGTAAGTGACTCATATAAAGGTATAGTAAAGTCTTTTGATACACAAGACTTTCTTAATTTCTCATTGTATTTCTATTCATTTTTGTTTTGTATATTTTGAAATTGTGCTGTTAAATGCTTAAGAGTTCCTGGCTGTTAAATCTTTTTGGTGGATTTTATATGTTGTTGTTATTAAATATTTCTGTTTGTCTTTTTTAATGTCATTCACTTTGGGTTCTGTTTTATTTGATATTAGTACTGTTTCATCTACCTAACTTGTTTGGCATTTACTTAGAATAACATTTTTCATTTCTTTATGTTCTATTTTTCTTTGATGTTTTATTTTAAGAAAGTTGCTAATAGTTTATTGTTGATGTTTTTAACCCTGTTGTATAGTTCTGTATTTAACCTACTTATAATTACTGAGACTAATGATACATTTGAACTTTTTTATCGTACTTCATGTTTTTCATTTGTCAAGGTTTTATTTTTCCTTTGTTATTTATTGTATTAATAAAGTTTTTCTTCTTTCATTTTGTTTCCTCTATTGACTTGAAAGTTATATATCAGTTCGTTTTTTATTTTATTTATTCTCAATCTGCTACTAATTCTGTGGAATCTTAGTAGTTTAATGTACCACCTCTAACATGAATGTAACAAAAACTAATTTACTGCATTATTATTAGATATTTATTCACTATAATGTGATATTCTCTTCATTGTCAGACAGAACTAATGTAGCATCTGCCTTTGCCTCTCTTCCCCTTCAGGACGAGTATCATGTCTATTTGCCATTAATTAATCCTTTATGACCAGCCCAGTGTCTAACACATATTTAGGCACTTCTGTGAGAGTGAAGTGGCACCTCATTGTTTTAATTTGGATTTCTTTGATTACTGGTGATCATCTTTTCATGTGTTTATTAATGTTGTGGCGCGAGAGAACCGAGAGACCACCAGAGCCAAATTAAAGCCAAATAGAGAGCAAAGCCGGCCGGCGACTGATCCCCAGTTCTCAGAGATCAGCCCCGACTTTCAGCTGATTTTTTATTTTATAGGGGGCTTGTTACAAACTCCTGCAGCTGGCATTTCTCCTTGGCCTTGGGGAAGAGCAAGCAAGGACAGAAGCGGAGGCAGTTAGCGATAAGTGGGAGGGAACGGAGGTGGGAGGGAGCCGAGGCGAAAGGGAACTGGGTGAACTGGGTGAACTGGGTCAGCACACATCTATCCTGCTATTCATTCTATTATCTAAGTTCTGAAAACTAACAAATTCGCTTAGAGGACAAATTCATTTAGGGGAGCACCAGGCCAGCTGGTACTTCCTCAGGTTGCCTCTGAAAGCTTCCTAGTTGGCCTTCTGTTTATTTAATCAGGACAACGTGATAGGAGCAGGCCAGTACATTAACAGTTCAACTTTTCTCTTTAAATTGCTAGTTTCTATCTTTAGTCTTTCTCTGTTGGATTGTTTTTCTTAAAGATTTGTGAATGTTCTTTATATAGTCTGCATATTAATCCTATGTTAATTATTTACATTATAGATCTCTACTTCTAGACTCTGTCTTTTGACTTTATGGTGTCTTCTTGTCAAAAGGAATTTGTAGCTTCGTATAATTAAATTTAAATATATTAATGTTATATTTGAGTTTAAGAAAGCCTTTTCTGTCCTGATATCATAATCATATTCTTCCTATATTTTCTTCTAAAAGCTTGAACAGACTGATGAATCTCAGAGGATGGGGGGAAGGGGTGGTGGGAAGAGATTAGCCAGAGAGCTTATCTGCATATATGCATAATCAGTGGACACAGACAATAGTGCCATGAGGCATGGGGTGCAGGAGGCAATGGAGGGGGCCAACAGGGGGAAAAAAGGAGAGACATCTGTAATACTTTCAACAATAAAGATACATTAAAAAAAAATCAAAGCTTTAAAGTTTTCCTTTCACATTTAGGTCTTGTTCCATCTAGAATGTAAGTGTTCAGTGTGAGGCAAGGATCCTGTTTTATTTTTTTTCATGCCGCCCCTGTCACATCCATTTCGCTCCATTGGTTTCTGCCTGTTCCTGCTTCACTCCCACTCGGCCTTTATTGTTACAGCTTTACAGCCTTGTTCCGGCTTTGTCGTGAATACTGTACCTCCGGCAGGATAAGACCGCCACCCCCACCCCACTCCACACTTTGTCACAGTGCCTCACAATTATTTGGGCTGTCTTGGGATTTTACTCTTTATAAGAGTAATTGGGTCAACCCGTTTCCATCCACACAAAAAATCTGTTGGGGTTTTAATTGAATTGGCAGTGAAAATTATAGATTACTTTGGGGAGAATTGACATCTTTACAGTATTCTTTTCATTCATGAAAATAACTTATTCATATCTTCTTTCTATCACATCCTTTAAAAATACCTTTGAGTATTTTCTGTAAAAGTCTTGTATGTTTTTTGTTAGAGTTCTTCCTAAGTGCCGTATAGTTTTTGTTGCCAATATTAATAGCATTTTTTTTTCTGTTATATTTTCTCTAATTATATTGAAATGTGGGGATTTCTTGTACGTTTTTCTTCTTCTATCCAAAACCTTGTTGAACTCTTCTTTTTTTGGTGGTGGTGGGGGGGTGAGATAAGGGAATCAACCATGATACCTGGGTTCCTGCTTCTAGAAGTGCAGTAGGAGCCACAGGCTGAGGAGTAACTTTGGTAACAAGGAGTCTATAAATAATCATTCTCTCCCACTTGATTTGAATAACATGTCCCTCAGTTTGTCCTTTTGAAATCTCCATATAGATAAGTATCAACCTGATATAGAGCTTCCAGTGACCCAGAGATTGGAGAATGAGCTTGATGTATTAGATGCGGATATCCTTCCAGAAGAAGCTCCATCTATTCTTGACCAAAATGCAAGCTTCAAAGAAGAGGCATTAGCTCCAGCAAAAACAAAAGCAGTGGGGAAAAAGCCTGTGGCTGAAAATGTACCGTTTAGGAAGAAAGATGCTCTGGCACCGGCAAGACTCCAACAAGTATGAAATTGCTTCTTTCTTTTTGGCCCATTTGTGTTAACCTGACATTGTCCAACAGTCACATAGACTAGTAAGGGCGGAGCCAGGATTTGAGTTCTCAGACATTTGAATGCCAGAGCCCTTGGGTCCAACATTCTAGATTAAGCTGACTTAGCTTAGCTCTAGGTTGTTTATATTTTTAATTTTTATTTAAAAAAATTTTTTTTTATTGACTTTAAAGAGAGAGGAAGTGAGAGGGAGAGAGAGCTAGAAACATCGATGAGAGAGAACATTGATTGGCTGCCTCCTGCATGCCCCCCACTGGGGACCGGGCCCACAACCTGGGCATGTACCCTGACCAGGAATGAAACTGGCAACCTTTTGGTGCATGGGTTGATGCTCAATCACTGAGCCACACTGTCCAGGCTAGGTTGTTTTTATTTTTTTTAACAAAAATAGCAATTCTTAATATTGTTGCTAGGACAGGACATTCTCTCTTGTCCTGGTTTGCTAATATTGTAACTTATTTGATACCAAGGGCCTAATCACATAGGCTATTTTAAAATTTAGGTTTTTCTGCTTCTGATTTGGGAGTGTGAAATTTGAGGGGATTAAGATTTGGTTCCTGCCAAAGATAAATATTGATAAATAATAATTACTCAATATTAAAAGGTATCCTAGGGTGCATACTTTCTAATACGGCTTTGGAAGCCAGTTGGCTTGAAACTATTATTATATTTTAAGCTTCTATTTGAAATTTAACTTAAGGCTCTACCAGTGGAGAATGGCCAGAAGACCACCTCCTAGTCTAAACACCCTTGATGTCGTTATTGCCGTTTAATGGTGCTGTCCAGAGGCTTCTGTAGTAAACCTGTATGTTATCCAGTGACCCGAGACAAAGGAATTGGTAGTTATAGCTAGTTACTGACAGATCGTGGATTTAGATCAAGTCTTTTTTCCTTTCCAAACAAACTCTTCTGGGTAGTTGGGGAGTCAGAACTGAGCCTGTGTGAATGGAGCTTGGTGTTCTTCTTCAGAGACTGCCTCATTTTCTATAATGTTCTAATGTAGCCGGAATCATTCTGGTTAGATGGCGCATGCCTTTATTCCTTCATCATCATACTCTTCCTACATGCCCATTAAACCTTACAGAAACTTGTGAAGAAATTATCTCCCATTTTACAGGTGAGACACTTGAGGCTCAGAGAAGTTAAGGTTTATTTCTTTGTTTTTTGTTAATCCTCACCCGGGGATAGTTTTCCATTGGTTTTTAGAGAAAGTGGAAGGTAGGGAGGGAGAGAGAGAGAGAAACATTGATGTGAGAGAGATACATTGATTGGTCACCTCCTGCTGGGGCTGGGGATTGAACCTGCAACCCAGGTACCTGCCCTTGACTGGGAATTGAACCCATGACCCTTTGGTCCTTGGGCCGATGCTCTAATTGCTGAGCCAAACCAGCCAGGGCAGAATTTAAATATTTTAACCAAGAATGTTTTACAGTTTAACCTTTTTGTTTGTTTGTTTAATTAGGAAAACATAAAAATGTATTTTATATATATCAAAAGATGGAAAAACTAGGGATTCCAATTTTACACCTCCTCTCCTCCCCCCGCCCCCACCAGTTTTAGTATAATTTACACCTTCCCCCAAATTTCTACCACAGTGCTTTCCAGTTAGGTTTTTGCCAAGTGGATACATGAATAGTGTAGGGGCCCTTGAAGCTTCAGTAAGACAGATTCTTTCATATTCATTTGTCTTGATAATTCATATTCACCTTTAACAGGGACTTCACAAAGCTGAAAAAATTAGACCAACCCAATCTCACAGCATCAGCAGGTTGCAACAGACAACAGTCTCATCCAGACTGAAAATGAAGCAGCAGCCTGTGAAAGACAGCAGGGCTCCTTGGATACCTCCCAACCCCACGTCCCCACCAGCGTCTCCTAAGTGGTATGTGATTTCATTTTTCCTCCACAGGCCAAAGGTGACCTGTTGTTTAACGCAAATAAAGTAGCAGCCTTAGTTCCCATTAAGAGGAAAAGCTTGTTAGGGTGAGTAATACATGAGAAGTTTTTGTCTAAAAGCCTGTTGGTTCCCTTTTCCTCCCTGACTGCCGGTGGCATAACCTCCCTGGGCCATCCCAGCACCTTGTGGACACGTCATTATATGGCGGCTCCTAGGCTTCCCTCACCCTCTCTTCACCCAGTGGATTCCAGTGACTTGAGGCCAGGAACTGTGCCTTCCTGTGTCGAATGTTCAGTGCCTGGCACTCAGTAAATCTTAGTAGCCATCAATAGATCTTTGCTGGATGAGTGATTTTTTCTTTAATCCTCTCCTGAGGACATTTTTTCATTTATCTTCAGATAGAGTGGGAGGGGAAGAGAGAGACACACACACATTGATTGGCCGCCTCCCACACGACTCCGACCAGAGCCGGGGACCGAACTGCAACTGAGGTACGTGCCCTTGACCGGAATCAAACCCGTGACTCTGGTCCGTGGGCCCATGTTCCAACCGCTGAGCCAAACAGGCCAGGGCTGGATGAGTGAATATCTTAAAGTAATTCTAATTCCAGATAATTGTGAATTATAAAAGCACACAAATCTCACAGACACCGTTCTGACTGCAGGGCATGGTTCGGGCAATGCTGACATTATCGCTGTGTCGCCCTCGTTTGTAGCACTGGAGGGTGAGGAGCGCCCGTTCCACAGAGCTAGAGCGAAGGCACTGTCCTCCAGGCGCATCGGGTCCAGTTAGGTGGAAGCAGTCTTCAGGGAAACGGTGAAGGGGAGCTTATTTACCATGGACAGTAATTCTTGAAAGCACAACGGGAAGGACGTAGGAGGGCGGTCAGTAAAAGGAAGGCAGCAAACAGCAGCAATGTGGGGAGCAAATGAGTCAGAAGTTAGGTGACTTTGGGAGGCTGGCAGAAGACAGGGTAAGAAGCCTGATAGAATGGGTTCCCCTTAAGACTGAATGATTCTGAATGAATGGTTCTCCTTATCAACCAACCCTCACTTTTTTTTTTTAATAATATTTTTTAATAATATTTTTTTTCTTTATAGATTTTGGAGAGAAGAAGGGAGAAAGAAAGATAGAAACATCGATGAGAGAGAACATCGATGAGAGAGAACATCGACTGGCTGCCTCCTGCACGCCCTCCACTGGGGATTTGGCCCACAACCTGGGCATGTGCCCTGACCAGGAATCTAACAGGAGAATTCTTGGCGCATGGCTTGACGCTCAACCACTGAGCCACACCAGCTGGGCAATCCCCACTTTAAAGTGGGAGAAACCACCCTGGCCGGTTTAGCTCAGCAGTTAGAGCGTCAGCCCGTGGACTGAAGGGTCAAGGGTTCAATTCCTGGTTATGGGCACATTACCTGGCTTTCAGGTTTGATCCCCGAACCCTGTCAGGATCGTGTGGGAGGCAACCAATCGATGTGTCTCTCTCGAATCAATGTTTCTCCCTCTATATCTCTCTCTCTCCCTCCCTCCCTCCCTCCCTTTCATCCACTCTATCTAAAAAAAATCAATGGAAAAGAGGATTAACAACCACCAAAATAAATAAATAAAGTTGAAGAAACCATGTTGAGAATGTAATGTCTTGCTTATATAGCAGAGCTAGGACTAATAACAGGTCTTCTGATTTCATAATGTGCTTTTTCTTTCTTTTTTTAATCCTCACCCAAGGATATTTTTTCCATTGAGTTTTAGATAGAGTGGAAGGAAAGGAGGGCGGGAGGGACGGAGGCTGAGGCCAGATATTGAACCGCAATCCTTGCCTGGGAATTGAGCCTACGACGCTTCATTCCGCAGGCCGACACTCTAACCACTGAGTCAGACTGGCCAGAGCTGCTTTTTCATTTTTATTTCTTTCTCTATTCTAAATTCTGTATTTAGATATATATATGGTATTTATATATACATACACACACACACACACATATACATATATATATATGTGTGTGTATATATGTTAGTATAGAGATGTGAATTCACTTGGTAAACATCTTAGTTGAAGTTTGTATTACAACCACATATACAGTGACCGTCTTCCAGAGCGTGTGTGTGTTGGGTGAGGCAGGGGAGGGGATACGGCTTCCAGGCTCAAAGGGCTGTACTAGGCCTTATAAAGGTACAGAGTAGCTTTGTAACATGGAATGTGATTAGTGATCCAAATCTGTATATTATGACAGGGTTTTGTTGAAGTTTACCCATTATTCTGTAATTGACCGTAAACATCTTTTTTAAATAGTGACTGCTTCTGTGAAGCAGAAGGAGCACTCTCCTTTAACACTGAGCCTGCGTCCTGGAGGATCTCACTCTTGGTCACACTCAGCTGCCACGCCAGGGCCCTGTGCTGGAGATCGCCACTTACTTAATGCTCTTGTCTTCTCTGAGCCGCTGGACGTGGAGTGAACCGTGGCATAGATATACCTTTCATGTCTTGCAGTGCGGCGTGGCTGAAGGTGAAGCCTAGCCCCACAGATGCCACGAAAGCGCAGTCCGCCGAGCAGGAAGGCGCTCAAGAGGAGAGTCGACTGAGAGGCGCTGTTGAGCACGAAGCAGCCAGGTTTGTGCAGGTGTTTCCAGACCTTCGAGGATGCAAGGGCCTCTTTCACAGATTCTCAGCTGAACTTTCTTATCTTCCCCGGGTATAAAGTTGGTTATTTAAAATGTAAATTATTAACGTTTTCTGTCAAACTGTGCAGTTTAGACAGTGAACCCCTGTTCTATTCCTTCTTATTTTATTCATTCAAAAATTATTTGTGTCAGGTGCTTTACACGTATTAAGTCTTTTAGTCGTTATAACCTTGTAAAGTATGATACTGTGCTTACCACCCCCATTTTTCAAATGAAGCAACCAAAGCAAGAGATGTGAAATCATTTTAACCCATGGTCACACTTTTAGCCAGTGCCCAGGCTGGGATTTGAACCCAGGCAGTCTGCCCCGGGATGGGGTGTTGTTCTGGTTGCCAAGCACAGCAGGTAGGTTGAGACCTAGGATCGACACTGGAGGGAAAAGGTTAGGGGCTAGGAGAGGTGGATTTGGGAGTCCTCTGAGGCATTGTTTGACTCAGCCATGCAGGTAGATGAGCTTGATGCGGAGGAGTAGGAAACGGAATTCAGTTGTGGGTCGAGGACTGAACTCTGGGTTGGCTCCACAGGGGCAAGGCCAGGAGGGGCACCAGGGGAAGAGCACCAGACAGGAAGGGAAGCAGGACGACGACGGGCACGAGCAGCCAGGACCGGAGGGCTCGGCGCGGGCGTCATGTTTGTCCAGTGCCTTTTAAGCTTATTTGTGCTGCATTCTGGTGGCACCTTTGGACTTTGTCCAACAATAATATTTGCAAGGGCATAAGTATATAATTACTAAAACTTCTTTTTTGTTATTAATCCTCATCTGAGGATATTTTTTCCCATTAACTTTGTTAAGAGGGAAAGAGAGAGAGAAACATCGACGTGAGAGAGAGACATCGATTGGTAGCCTCCCACACACCCCAGTGGGGGCCTGGGATCGAACCTGCAACGAAAGCCGATGCTCTAACCACTGGGCAACATTGTCCAGGGCTATCAAAAAATTTTTTTAATTATGTGTGTCAGTTGTCTACCAGTTTTGTTTTGTATGCGGTACCGTTGTGAGCGCTTGGGAGACTGCCGGAAAGGGCAAAGAAGACCGAACCCCAGTCCCTGCTTATCTACAGTCAGTAGGGAGGACTTGTCAGTAGCTGTAATTTAAGATAGAACATGACATGTACCCCGAGAACTAAAGGGTTAAGAACAGATTTTATAAGGGGGACAGAATACTTCTTGCTGTAGAGAGATAGGCTTCATGGGGGAGATGGAAAATAAATTAGGACTTAAAGAATAGGTCTTAAATAGAGGGTGATAAGGCGAGAACATTCCGTGTGAGGACAACAGTGAAAACGGGTCTCTCTGCATTCGTTTGGCTGAAATCGTTCTTAAAATTATGGGAAAGCAAAAATGAAAATGGGCCATTAAATAATTTGATAATGTTTACAGATCCTAAACTGAAAGAATCAAAGCCCATCCACGTGCAGAGTTAGCTTTTCCTTTCTCTTGTATTTGACTTCACTGTGCCTTTAGGACTCTCCTGGGAGTCTGTTTCTTTGTCTCAACTTGTAGCTACATTAACAGCTTTGTTTTATAGTTGACCAGGAGAGCCGAAGTCCAGGGAGGGTATTTGTGGGCAGTTTCTGTTGCTCTGCACACTAGCTAGGAGTGCCTTTGCACTGACATGTCTTTTTACCCGGAGTGGTCCATGAGCTTTAGGGGCAGAGAGGTTGAGTTACCTCCTGAGTCCTTCCTGGAGCCAGGATCGGCGCTCTGGAGGATCCTGACGCCCAGGCTGTTTCTGTGGTATTGACACTTGCAGGTCGAGGCAGAATTGGTCTGACTCTTTTTGTTCTGTCTGCTAGACTCGCCTGGCTTGATGCAGAAACTGCCAAAAGATTGAAGGAACTTGGAGAATTAAAAACTGAAGAAATGGACAAAATGCAAAATCAGAGGTAAATATCTGCTTCTGAAGTAGGGAAAGATAAAGCAGGCCTGTCCTATATTATCCAGCTATTTTAACAGCTAAGTGCAATTGTTTAAAGGTGTAGTCACACCTTTATGTTTATCGACTGGTTGGCTGCTTAAAAGATTTTGAAATCACCTTAGAAGCCTACAGTGGAGCCCCGATAGGAGAGCAAGGGAGCCCTGGCTGCCCTGAAGACAGCTGGGGTGACCGTTTTGTACTGTCCTCTAGGCTCTGTTTGCTTGATGCTGAAGGGATTATTGAACTTGAACTTTACTCTAGGGCCACGATTCCCAAACTCTGGGTCGTGACCCCTTTGGGGGTCGAATGACCCTTTCACAGGGTTTGCCTAAGACATAACAGTAGCAAAATTACAGTTATGAAGTAGCAATGAAAATAATTTTATGGTTGGGGGTCACCACAACAGTAGGAACTGTATTAAAGGGTCACAGCATTAGGAAGGTTGAGAACCACTGCTCTAGGGTCATCTGGGTGGACTGTTTGCTAAGGACCCTCATGCTGGTTTTTAGGTCTCTTCTTTGTGTGTGTGTGTGTTGGGAGTGGGGGGTCAGACTGTTTAGAGAGAAGAATCTTCTGATTTTCCTCCTGGAGGGTAAGGATCTAGATGCAGTGTTTTAGGGGCTGAGTTGTGAGTCTTACCACTTGGTATTCAGCATGCGTACATGGTCCCCTCCTTTCAGTAGGAGCCTGGGCTGTGACTGACATCTCTTAGTCAAGAGAGTGAGCAGCCCGACTTCTCACAGAGCGGGAGAGAGGTCTAACTTCTCAAACATCCTTGTCCTCCACATTTACACAACCCCCTCCCAGCTCACCCAGGCTTAGAGACACCTGGTACCCACTCAGTCTTGTGCCTGTGTAAGTCAGCAGTGCACATTGTGTGGATTTTCAATCTTACCCATTGCTGGCTAAGAAGTCAGCTTTCTCAGGTTAGCTAAGTTCACATGACTTTTGACCTTTTGCTTTCCAGCACCATTGTTTTCCTTCTCTTTGTCGGTTTGTGTCTGACTCTATTACTGTGGAGTTTGAGGAATGGAGCAAACTTAGTTTCGTTTGTTCAGTCTTCTACCCTCTTTTTTTTTTTATCCTCACCCGAGGACATCTCTCGACATTTTGTTCAGATAGAGTGGGAGGGAAAGAGAGAGAGAGAGAAACATCGACGTGGAAGGGACACATCGAGTGGTTGCCACCCGCACGACCCAACCAGGGCCGGGGACAAACTGCAACCGAGGTACGTGCCCTTAGTGGGAACCGAACCCAGGTCTCTCTGGACCACAGGCCGACACTCTAACCACTGAGCCAAACTGGCCAGGACCAGTCTTCTACCCTCTTTACTTGTTCAAAGGCAGCCATTATTCTTTTAAAATGTACTGAGAGCCTAACATTCTTCTTCAGGTGTTCGATGCAGGACCAGCGGTGTTGCAGCTACCTGGGAGCTTGTTGGAAATGCAGAGTCTCAAGCCTCAGTCAGACCAACCAAATCAGAGTCTGCATTTTAACAAGACCCCTAGGGGACTTGTGTAGCCATTACAATTGGCAAGCATTGTGGGTTTATAATTTGATTTTCCTTCACCTGGAGTGGTAAATAAATATGCAAAATGAGATATTTTCTTGCTTTTGATTTTAATTTTCTATTTTATTTCTAAATAGTGTTTCTGCTACCCAGTTAGCAGACGAGGTAGAGAAGGCGGTTCTGAAGCGTTTGAAGCCTCTGCTGGCCAAGGCTCAGGTAATCTGCTTATCTCATTTGCTTGCCTTTTGGAAGTTCTAGAATAAAAAGGGTTGCTACAGAGGTTACACTGACCCTTTGTAGGGCTGAGTGTCTGGCGGCGGGAAACTGCGGTGCTGAGCTGTGTGCTCGTAGTGTGGGCCCCCTGTGGGCACCCGCAGACCACCCACACACTGTTGTGTCTTCCATTGTGGGTTAGGGATAGAGACAGTGGGGAGTGAGAGAAAGTCCCACTTTGGAGAAAGGTGAGAGTTTAGTTTGGGGAATGAGTTTAGATTGCAATTTCCATCTCAGTCAAATAGGTCTGCCGGTTATGTTGTGTTCAGTAACTGCGCCCACTCTACCCCTGCGCTCTTCCACTTCAGTGGTTTGAGATGGCTGACTTTGTTTTCCAAAGGAGAGAGATGTTAGGACAGCTTCTGTGCACAAACCAGGGCTTTTCTGAAGGTGAAATTGCATACGGCATCACCAGCAGGTCGTGTCATCCTCCTGTAAGCAGTTCACTGAATGTCAAGGCCAGACCCTGTAGATCCACCTGTAGACGGCAATAGTCTGTCTGTGTGAACAGACGAGGCCACAGAACAATATTATCATCTTAAATGGAACAAATAGCAATCTGGGTCCCTGAAAACGTCACTGAATTTCTGTAGCTGTAGTTTAAGAAATGTTGAATTTTTATGAGAGTCCTTGGGAATCTCAGGACTATAGAACTGGGAGGGATCTTAGAGACCAAATTGTCCCACCTTCTCATTTTATCAACGAGGAAACTGGAACAGAGAAGTGGAGTAATTGCATAAGAACACACAGCTACTCCAACAATGTTTACAAAGTTGAGGGACGGAAGAGGGCAGAAAGCCAAGGTGAACACACGACGTTTATTTCCATGAAGGCAGTGCTTTGAATGGCTGCAAAAAGCCCAATGTTGCTAAAGCTGATGAACAGTTCCACACAAATTCTTCTGTTACAGAATTCATTTATACTAATATGGGTTGTACATTTTTGTAATTCATGAACGTGCTTGTCTGTTTTAATAGAGAGTCAATTCTTCTCTGGAAGCAGATAGTCATTTGAAGGATCGATCATTGGTAAACTCAGCGACAGCCCAGCCTGCAGAGGAGGTATGTGTGAAACTATTATGTGACGATGTCTCTGGTGTAAGGAAAATGATGCGTACATTACTTTGCAAACACTAGATTATTCTACTAAAGAAGTGGAAGTTATTTTTCATTCTTACAGTGTATATTTAGCATTATGAGTTAGATCAGCCTTGCAAACAGCTCACAGAAGTCTCTGGAGCCACAGGTTTTTGTTAGTGGCTCTTCTCTCTCCTGGTGCACTGCGTGGCCCTGCATGTTGATGGCCTTCGGCAGAACAATGGCTGTCCTCATTTCCTTTCATCCAGCCTTGTTCTGCTCATTACTGGCCTGATTTCCTTTATACTTATGGCCTGATATTTATTGTTGGGCCAGCATGTTTTGTGTGCCCAATAATGACCAGTATCTGGCCTCACAGAGAGAAAAGATAGCCCAAGAAAAAATGATAACATTAGAGAGGAAAAAAGCGCACACGTTTTTGGTTGTCCCGACTCTGGAGGACCAGTGGGAGTGTCCCCACCTGCCCAGGGCTGTGAGTGGCAGGTGCCGACTGCATCCACTGAATCTTTGTGCGGGTTGGAAAGAAGTTATTGCTTTATGTGCTCAGAGCAAGTGGGAAAGGTCCAGCGTTAGAAGGAAGTTGGAATGAAGCTCCACCGGTCCCACCACCTTGGGAACAGGAAGGAAGAAAGTAGATTTCGAGAATGGGTCCCTATTAGAATTAATATTTTAGCTGCAGCATATTTTCATAATCTTTGTGATTATAAATTGATTGAACCAGTTATTCTGTGACAGAATCGCATGTGAGGTGAGGCTTCTAAGACTGGACACTGGAAGCCTACATTTAGCTCTTATAAGTTGGGGACGCTGTGGCTGGCGTTTTGTGCCGCGCAGCCACCAAGTGCTCCTTCTGCCCCAGCAAAACAGGGCGGCTGACGTCTGATCCGGGGAAGCAACTCCATGTGGCATTGTAATAAGAAAGAAAAATGAAGTGATTATAAATGTCCATGAAGTGGACATATTTTAATATTATTAAGAATAATCAGCCTTCTATATAAGGATTATACAATAGGCATTAAGTGGTCTTTAATATAATTTATTGAAGAAGAAAAGTAACTCGTCAGTATTTAGTATTCTGGGCTGCTGTTAAATATCAGGATTGTTGCGCCCTGGCCGGTTTGGCTCAGCAGTTAGAGCGTCGGCCTGCGGTCCGGAGAGACCCGGGTTCGGTTCCCGCTAAGGGCACGTACTTCGGTTGCAGTTTGTCCCCGGCCCTGGTTGGTCGTGCGGGTGGCAGCCACTCGATGTGTCCCTTTCACGTCGATGTTTCTCTCTCTCTCTCCCTCCCACTCTATCTGTACAAAAAATGGAAAAATATCCTTGGGTGAGGATAAAAAAAAAAAGGATTGTTGCAAAGAGATTCCCACAGAGCACCATCAAGAGTCACTGTTTATAGCCCTGGCCGGTGTGCCTCAGTTGGTTGGGCATTGTCCCATGCACTGAAAGGTTGCTGTATCGATTCCTGGTCAGGGCACATGCCCAGGTTGTGGGCTCAATCCCCAGTTGGGGTGTGCCGGAGGCAGCCGATTGATGTTTCTCTCTCATATCAACGTTTCTCTCTCTCCCTCTCCTTCTCCCTTCTTCTCTTTCTATTGTTTTTTTTTTTTAATCCTCACCCAAGGCCATTTTTCCATTTTTTGTTCAGATAGAGTGGGAGGGAGAGAGAGGAAAAGAGAGAGAGAAACAGCAACGTGAAAGGGACACATCGAGTGACTGCCACCCACACGACCAACCAGGGCTGGGGACAAACTGCAACCGAGGTACACGCCCTCAGCAGGAACCGAACCCAGATCTCTCTGGACCACAGGCCGACGCTCTAACCACTGAGCAAAACCGTCCAGGGCTCGCTCTCTCTAAACATAAAAATATAAATTAAAAAAATTGTAAAAAAAGAGTCAATGTTTATAAATAACTGAATAAAAACAAACAAAAAACCTCATTGAAGTTGTAATGAAGTAAAAAGAATTATTTTCCTGTTAACTTATAAGAGGGCTGTGGGACCTTGAACATAAATTCTCAGAATTCTCATTTCTGAAATGGAGAAGATTCTTGCTGTACCATACAAGTGAAATACAACTCGAGGTAGATTTGCTTCTAGACAAGACAGACTCTGGTATCCGGACAAAGCTCTTGGAAGGGCACCATTATAACATATTTGTCTATTGCTGCTGCTATTGCCATTAACTGGATTTGCACATGAAATATATTTTTCTGAAATGTAGGAGTTTGTTTTAATTTAAAGTTTTATATGCATATGGCCAAACATTCAAGCAATTCAGAAAGTATAATATAAAAAGTGAAACCTCCCCACAAAGGGATGCCATATGCTGGTCTGTGCCCAGGCTCGTTCTCTAATATAGTTTGGTGATCTTCCATGTCAGCACACTGAGACTGTTCTTGTCTTTGTTAAAGGCACATGGTATTCTGGACATTCTGTTCTTTATAGATGGAATACATTACACATACAAATGTACACGTCTCCATTAACCAGACCCGTATTACTGGTTTAGTTGTCTCTAGAGTTTTTGTGATTTTATTGTATTGGTTATTCAACTAATTTGTATTTCTTTAAGTTTTCTGAAGATAAATGCAAAAGTGTCCTCAGGTGAGGATAAAAATAAATAAATAAAAATGCTTTGCAAATTGTAAAATGCTTTGTGAATGTCAACAACATAAGATCAAGAAAGGGTGATCAAGCTGTCCCAGGTTGTAGGTAGAAGGTCCCAAGCAAACAATTGTGAACTTTGTGATGTCATGAACCAAAGGCATTGGATCAGAAGAGAGCAGATGCTCTGGAATGTGAGTGTGTAAAATGATCTTTTTCTGAGTATAGCACGAGAGATATTTGCTTTACCAAGTGGCAAAACAGATGATAATGATACTTTACATGGACAGTAATAGTATTACTTGGTTAACGCTACTGTTTCAATGACTGGTAAAAATTGAACTAATGTTACTGGTTTTGATGTTTACTGACTTAGCCAAGGTTTGACTCAGTGTAGAAACTCTGCCAGGTAGATCCCCACGTGGTTGGCTCCTTGTGATCAGCATTAATCTTTAAGTTCCTCTGTTGTCTTTGTGTTGCTTTTCCACCCCCTCCCTGTTTCACAGGCTACTGCTGTTGATTGTAAATCCAACAACAGTTGTCAGCTGGATGATATTTTGGAAGATACCGCTCATGTGCTCCGGGATGTGACTCACTCTAAGATCTTGGATCCTGACTTCTTAGCCACCTCCGGGGACAGCCTGTATCTGGAGACCATGATGTTCCGGATGGAGGAGATGGAGGTGAGGTCTGGGCTGCAGGCTCCGGTGCCGCGGGGGGCTGACCTCTGGAGTGCAGACCCTCCCTCCTCGAGGCTCTGTAGGTCAGAATCACACCACTGGTTTTAAATCCTAGCCCAACTGCCAATCAAGTGTATGACCTTGGTAAAGTCACTTACCCTCTCTAATAAGTAGGGTGTTTTTAAAGATAAAATGAGGCATGAAGTATCATCAAGTCCTTAGTAGCTTATTGCTTGACACATAACTCAGGAAGTGATCAATATTAATTTACCCTGATATCATTGATGTGATTTAGAAAACACCAGGACCGTGACTTCTTCGTCCCTCGGCTTGTAAATGCTGTTCATTTGCCTCTTCTCCCTGGCTAGCATCTGATCCTGACACATCACAGACAAGTCTGCCTTCTTTAATCCATGATCCTACTTTAGAATGATTTGCTCAGAATGTTCAGTCTAAGGCACTGCCCGGCCCAACCCCAGGATTGTTCAGAGCAGGAAGCTGAGACACGTTAAGGGAGTAAGTGTTCTGGCTAAGGTCGCAGACTAGTTCCCACCAGAGCAAGGGTAAGAATCCCTCCAGGTCTCCTAACAAACAGTTCAGCATTTTTCTCACAAATGCACTGTGACTAAATCTCATTTTGGCTTCGCTGCTCAATACAAACATTATAGAGAGGACAATTTTTTGTTGTTTTTTGAAAATTTAAAGATGTCTAGTTTATCCTAGCCTTCTAACTTATTTCCCAGTGTTGGGGGTAACTTTCTAGACCTGAAGTGTCCAGTATGGTAGTCTCTAGCCAAGCATGGCTATTTAAATGTAAATTAATTAAGACTAAGCACACCACTCATATTTCAAGTGGTCAGAATGGTCAGTAGTTTGTGGTTACTATGTTGGACATGGCAACTATACAACATTCCCATCTTCACCACAAGCTCTGGTGGGCAGTGCTAGTCTGCGTTAGATTGATTACATTAATGGCTTCATTTTGTTTTAGATTCCACCTCGTAAATGAATGGCTCCCTGGCCTGGCAGATGCTCATTTCCGGCGGTGCGTCCATGTCACATGTGTCTGCTGAGCTGGGGCATTCTTACTGGCTCTGGTTTGTAATGAAACAAATTGATTCTCATAAATTTTCCTTTTTTTTTTTTTTTTTAAAGAAATACCAGGAAACAGTTCGCCAAAGATATAGTAAAATTGTGTATACTGATCCTCATCTTTGGATGCAGGAAGAAAAGAATGGTGAGTGTTCCCCTCATGTTTCCCCCCCGACATTATTTCCTGAAAAATTTCAAACATACACAAAAGTTGAAAAAATTATACATTCCTATACCCACCTTATAGATTCTACAATTGACATGTTGCTGTATTTGCTTTATTTATTTATCTTTTACCCATCCATCAATTTCTCTTATTTTTGGATGCATTTCAAAGAAAGTCGTTGAGCCCTGGCCAGTTTGGCTCAGCGGTTAGAGCATTGGCCTGTGGTCCGGAGAGACCCGGGTTCGGTTCCCGCTAAGGGCACGTACTTCGGTTGCAGTTTGTCCCCGGCCCTGGTTGGTCGTGTGGGTGGCAGCCACTCGATGTGTCCCTTCACATCGATGTTTCTCTCTCTCTCTCTCCCTCCCACTCTATCTGTACAAAAAATGGAAAAATATCCTCGGGTGAGGATAAAAACAAAACAAAACAAAAAAAAAACAAAAAACAAAGAAAGTCGTTGACATCAGTACACGTCATCCTAAACATTTCAACATGTGTATCCACAGCTCGAGCTTAATGTTTATGACTCTTTTTTCTTTTGAGGTGAAATTTACATATAATAAAACGCACAAATCTTAACTGTGTCATTTCATGTTTTTTTTTTGTTTTTGTTTTTTATCCTCATCCGAGGACATTTTTCCATTTTTTGTACAGACAGAGTGGGAGGGAGAGAGAGAGAGGGAAACATCGATGTGAAAGGGACACATCGAGTAGTTGCCACCCACACGACCAACCAGAGCTGGGGACAAACTGCAACTGAGGTACGTGCCCTTAGTGGGAACCGAACCTGGGTCTCTCCGGACCGCAGGCGGACGCTCTAACCGCTGAGCCAAACCGGCCAGGGCCATTTCATGGGTTTTGATAAATGAATGCACCTTTGTTATCCAAATGCCTATCAAAATATAGACTATATATCATCACCTCAGAAAGTTCCCTTATGCTTCTTCCCAGTTAGTTCCCCACAACCCGGGCAGCAATTGTGCTTTTCCCCCACTATAGATTAGTGATGTCTGTCCTAGACTCTGGTGTAAGTGGAATCATACGTGCATATATTACTCTTTGTCTAAGACTTCTTTCATTCAGCATGATGGTTTATAGATTTATCTGTTACTTGTTTCCTTTTGCAACAGATTCAGTGATTTAAAACACAGAATCATTCTCTTACACTTCTGGAGGTCAGAAGTCTGAATTGAGTCTTAAAGGGCTAACTCCGAGGTGTAGGCACCTTCTCAGGCTGCTTGCACTCCTTGACTTCTGAACATACTACTCCAGACTTCGTTTCTGTTGTCACACTACCTTCTCTTCCATAGTCAAATCTTCCCCCCTTACTCAAGCACAGTGTGACTGCCTATTATAAGGACACTTGAGTTACATTTAGGGTGGCCTTCATAATCTGCGATACTTGCCCCATCTCAAAAGCCTTAGCTGAAAGGCCCTCTTGCCATAGAGGGGAACATTCCGTTTCCAGGGATTAGAATGTGGACACCTTGCGAAACCATTATTCAGTCTACCGCAACACTTGTATCAGTAGTTCTTTCCTTTTCATTGCTGAATAGTATTCCATTTTATGCATGTACTGCATCTAGTTTATCCATTTGCTTGTGGATCTACATTTGGTTGTTTTTGGTTTTGAGCTATTAGAAATTAATCTGCTATGAATATATTCGTTAATAGTCTGTGTAGACATACATTTTTATTTTTCTTGAATAAACACTTAAGAGCAGACTTGCCAGGTCATGGGATAGGTGGATGCTTAACTTTATAAAAACCTGCCAAACCTTTCCCCAGAGTGACTGTGCCATTTTACTCTCCCATCTAATTGGGTTCTTGTTGTTCCATATCTTGCCAACATTTGCTGTTGTCAGTCTTTAATTGTAGCCATGCTGGTGTAAGTTTCTTTTCTATGGTGAAGAATGAGGTTTAGAACATTTTCAAGTGAATATTGACCATTATATCTTCCCTTATGAATTATTCGAATCCTTTGTACATTTTTCGAATGAGTTGTCTTATTTTTGAGTTGTAGGAATTCTTTATGCATTTTGGGTACACATTCTTTGTCATACATAGTTCTTTTTTTTTTTTAATCATCACCCAAGGGTATTTTTCCATTTATCTTCAGATACACTGTGAGGAAGAGAGAGAGAGAGAAATATCAATGTGAGAGAGAGAGATTGACTGGTTGCCACCTGCACAATCCCATCTGGGGCCAAGGACCGAACTGCAACCGAGTTATGTGCCCTTGACCGAATTGAACCCATGACTCTTTGGTCCACAGGCCAATGCTCTAACCACTGAACCAAACTGGCCAGAGCTTAACAGCTTTATTAAGATAATTTACATACTGTAAAATTCACCCTTTTATGCTGTAGAGTTTAGTAGTTTTTAGTGTATTTACAGAGTTATGCACATCACTGCTCATAAAACATTTTTGTCACCCTAAAAGAACCCCAGCATCCACTGTCCCCCGCACCCAGCAGCCACTGATTTACTAACTGTTTGCAGATAGTTTCCCCATCTGTGGCTTGCATATTGTTTTCTAAACGTGTTTTATTATAGGAAGATACTTTTAATTTGGATAAAGTTGAACTTTTGAATTTTCTTGTATCGTTTTTGCTTTCTTTGATCTCAGAAACCTTTGCCTACTCCGATTTGAGAAGAGAGTGTCTTGTTTTCCTCTAGAAACTTTACGGTTTTAGCTTTCATTTGTAGGTCTATGATTCATCATGAATAAAAGTTGGCCTGTGGTTTGAAGTAGAGATTGCAGCTCATTTTCCCCCCTTGATGGATATCCATTTGTTTTCATACCATTTGTTGAAAAGACCTTAACTTTTCTCCTCCACTTGTAAGAATTCATAGAGACACATTTTGGCTGCAGTTGCTAGGCTACTATCACCATTTTAGCCGGGAAGTGTTACTCGAATCTGTTTGACTCAGGCTTATTGGTTACTGCCTTCCTCCGTGAAAGGAGGTGAATAAAACGTGGCTCCACATCAGCTCTGAAGGAATTTGAGTACGGTGAGTGCGGAGGGATGTACAGGAAGCTGGGTGCAGGTGCTTCACAGTCAGTCGTATGTCACATGTAATTTTTTTCTAACCTTCACCTGAAGATATGTTTTTTTAATTTTATTTTTTATTTTAGAGAGAGAGAAACATCAGTGTGAGAGAGAGAGACATCGATGGTTGCCTCCCATATGTGCCTCGACCTGGGATCAAACCCGCTGCCCTTTGGTACATGGGACAGTGTGTCAACCAACTGAGCCACCTGGCCAGGGCGTCATATATAATTTAAAATTTTTTTTGTTTATTTATTTTTAGAGAGAGAGAGATGGAAACATCGATGAGGGAGAACATCGATTGGCCACCTCCTGCGTGCCCCCCACTGGGGATCGGGCCCACAACCTGGGCATGTGCCCTGACTGGGAATTGAACCAATGACCTGTTGGTGCATGGGTTGATGCTCAACCACTGAGCCACACCAGCTGGGCAAGTCACATATAATTTTTTTTAAATATGTGTTTGGGGTGCAGTCTTAGAGCAAGTGTTCACCGTGTCAAATGTTGACAGAAGAATGAGTTATCTAAACACAGTGCTGATTTGTTCCTTTTATGTTTCTGTCGTTTTCAAGCACTCTGTTCTTTGCTGGCGTTGTTGTCTCTCTTACCCCCAAACCTTGTCCTGCTCCGATTTCATCAAAACCACCCTTAAGGCCTGGCTCGCTGGTCCCGTGGGCGGAGCTTGCAGCGCTCCCTGGGATTCCTGGATGGCAGCGCGGGGCTCCCTTCCCCCGGGGCCTGAGCTCCCAGGGACTTCGGCCTGTCCTGCTGGCATGGAGCTCTTTGGGGAGGGGTCTCATCTCTTCCAGCTCGGCCCCAGGCTCTCTGAGGCCAGAGAGTTGTTGTATTCAGTGTGCCTCCGACTGCTCCTATCCCGAGCCTGGAGCAGGGAGGACCCTGCTGATGGTGGCTTAGGGAATCAGTGGGCACCTGAGCATCTTGTGTGGAAGTGGAGGAAAGGGCTATTTGTTGCACTGGTGGTTTGGCCCTTGGCCACAATGTTAGGTTGCATCATGTGAAAGACAGTCTTACCTAGGACTCCGTGTTCTCTTTTTCCAAGGGCAATTTGAATTATTAGTCACTATCTATGACTCTGCATAACGTCTAGGTATACAGTGAAAAGGAGCTCTTGAGAACACTAAGACCTGAAGTGAGTTTTTGGAGACGTTATTTCCAGAATCAGGGAGTCATAGTAAGAACCCTGTGTTTCTAGTTGTTCAGATGTTATGTTTAGTTGCATCACAAAACCAAATTTAAAGTGACTTTCGAATTGTGTAGGGTGTAATCTGTAATCCTCTCTTTCTGTGAACAGTTGAAAATTGATTGTACTCAGCAATATTTTTACAAAAACTGACCTACACAGTCAGTATTTCTGACAGTATAAATCACAAGCCTACAGATGAGTTAGAGAATGTTCCTTGACTTAGAGGTTCTCCTCACCTTAGAGAAGGACAGACCTTCCTGCACTTGCAGTGCATTTAAGTGATAAAAACTCCAGGACTCAGAAGAGCTGGCAAGCCTGCCAGGCCTAGTTAATAAGTTAATGTTTTGATAACATCATGCAGATTTTCCAGCAATGCCACAGACAAATTAAGTCAGCTAATTAAGTGCTCAGTGTAAGTGGGGATTTTTCCTTCTCCCCAATCAAACCATTTAAAGGTTAAAAAACAAACCCAACTTCTTAAGCCTCCTGAATGGGTGGCTGGGCCCTAATGGACCCGCACGGCCGGGAGGCCGGCTTGGCACCGCTTCAAGGAGTCTTCCGGCAGAGGCCTACAGCGGAGCTCATTTCTGAAGAGCGACTCATTGGCTTGTGTCTGTGTAACTTTATTTTTAAAAATATTTTTTCTATATTGATTTTAGACAGAGAGGAAGGGAGAGGGAGAGAGATGGAAACATCGATAAGAGAGGATTGGCCGCCTCCCGCATGCCCCCCACTGGGGATCGGGCCTACAAACCCTGACCGGGAATTGAACTGGTGACCTCTTGGTGCATGGGTCAACACTCAACCACTGAGCCACACTGGCCGGGCGTGTCTTTATAACTTTAAACTCACCTTTTTATTTAAAACGAACATCATTTTTCATTGCACTGCTCACTAAACTCATTATGCTTACCAGGTGCACACATGGCTCCCTCACAGGTCGCTGGCCACTGGGACAGCCTGGTATGTACACCGACTCTTCTTCTTACCAGTCACTTTAAGCCTCTCCTTTTCTAGAACAAACCGTCGCAGCAGGAAGGGAAAGGCCCCTTTCTCCTCATCCGATGAAGATCACAAAGGCAGCAGCCAGCAACAACTCTGACGTGAATGTCCCGAACATCATCGTGTTAGAGAGGCCCTGCAACGGCAAGTAAGCGCTAAGGACACGGCCCGAGGCCATTGTAGTTGGTCGCCTTTGATGTTGCTCAGTTTCGCATCCCTTCAGTTCCCACAAGACAGAGAAATTCTTCTTTTGAGCAGGATCTTGCCAAACTCAAAGATGGCTCAGTAGAGTAGCATGTTTTTGTGTTGAGCATAGAATAGGTTGCACCTTAAGGAGCCTGGTTTTTGCTGTTGAAAGTATCACATTGGCACCGTGATCTGCTTCAAGAATTCTTTTGTCCACGGGACAGGGACCCCACCACGTGGAGGGCTAGTCCAGTGAAAGGGGGAAACAGTGTCTGATGTTAACATGTTGAATTTTGTTCATTGTAAGAAAGAAATGAAATTAAGTCTTTGGTTAGCAAACCAGCAGGGGGAATGAACAGTTTACCCTTGCTTACAGATGATTTTCGATGTTGTCCTAATTTTTGTTTGCTCTCAGTTCCCTGGATGAAAGTGTGGGAACAGAGGAGAAGTCAGAGAGAAGAGTGGCTCCCCTTCTCTCCCCTTCAGAAGATTCCGAGCAGAGAAAGGGTCGAACGGCCCTGTGCGTCCCCCCCGGCATGCGCCGCAGCATCGGCGACTACTGCAGCCGCTTCGAGCGGTACCTCCGGATGGTGTCTCACGAGGCTGTGGGCTCCTTCAACCCGTGGCTGATTGCTGAAAGGTCAGTGAGCTGTTATGTGCTGGGTGCAGGAACCAAGTGCCGAATGCTAACTGACAGAAAGGCTGGGGAAGGACTGGCCAAGGTCATGCTGTGCCTTCGGGCCTTGGGGTTCCAGTGGCTGCTTTTGGGCTAGTGCCCAGGTTTCCCTGCCAGCTTTCCTTTTTCCGCTGGAAGAGACTGTAGAAGAGCCTAGGCAATGCCACCCCAAGGAGCCTGTGGAGCCTCCCTTCCTAGTCAGAGGCACACTGTGCAGACCAGGGAGGACTTCCTGTTGCCGGCAGTGAGGGCCCTGTCCATCAAAGAACACAGAGTATTACTCGCTCAGGGACAGTGTGATCGTGACATCTTCACGGTTGGGACAAACCGCACCGAGGAGCAGGCCTTGGGGCTTTGCAGCCTGATCGCTAACCCTTCTCCTTCCGAGGGTCACCGCCCCTGAGAGAGGTCCCTTTGGGAGTGCTAAAATACAGTCCCCCGCCACTGAATTTTCCAGGAATGGGTAACCTTTTTTATGTAAGTAGTTAATTGAAATTCATTCTTTTTAAATTGGGCCCAAGTTTAAATTCCTCGTGGGTATCACTTTCTTACAAACATGCAAATAGTTTTTCATCGTAGAGCCCGGAGGCATACTGTGATTCCATCTTTCTTGAACCAGCTCTCACCGTATTCTAGGAGCAAACAACTGCCTCTTTTTTATTTGCTTGTTCTTTTATGTGTGTATTAACTTTGTCCACACACTAGCCAACATCTCGATGTAATTTTCCTCAACAATCAGTTCATCTCTGTTTCTTGCCTCCACCCCGACTCTCCTGAGACTCTCCTCCTGCCCCAGCGGGCTGGGCTGCTCCCCAGGTCTGCCACGGGGGGCCCAGAGCAAGGCCTTCCTCCTCCACAGCCCGAGTGAGCGCGCCTCCTCCCAGGCCGGGGCTCTGCTTCCAGTGCCCCCCTCGCCCTCTCTCTTGGTTTACTCTCCTACTTGGATAGCGCATATCCTGTTTTGTGTATAGGAGGAAATTTCTTGTGATTTGCCTGTTTGAAAGTGTCTTTATTCTATCTTCACACTTGATTGATGATTTGGCTGAGTTTAAAATTATGGGTTTATTTTTTCCCTAGAATCTACACCTTCCTTTACTTGTGGGCTGAAGGCGGGACTGTCACTTGGCTGCCAGGAGCAGGGGTGGAGACCCCCAGCCCTGCCCTCACTCCCCCCACCCCCCATCATGGTCCTCAGTGCCCTCACTTCCGAGTCTTTGTTTTGTGAGACAGAGCAGCTTGCTCCCCGGGCCCCTCCCTGGACATTACTAGCTTTCGGCTCCCTCTGCCTGTCGTCTGTCCTGCTGGGTCAGCCAGGGGTCTGCCACGTGCGCTTCAGCTTCAGGGGGTCTTGGACGTTTCTCATCTACTGTGGTCTTACTTTTTTCCTTTTAGATGGATGTATCTGTTTATTTCCTTTTATTTCAGTGGAGTTCTGGGTGGGATCAGAGAAGATCACTTATGTTCAACCCCTCAGGTTTAACCTGAAGTGCTTTAATCTGCCATGCCCTTGAGAGAGTCTGAGGCCTTTGGCTCTGGCAGAGATGACATCTGTTTTGTGGGGGAGAGAGCAGGCGAGTTTGACTTGCTCCGTGTGCGGACGCTCAGTCGGCAGTGTGCTCTCTCGTTTTCCCAGAACCGATCTGGGTGGTCGGGCTAACTGGTGTGCTGGGAAATCCAGAAACAAGCCAGGGAAGATGGACTGCTCCTTGTGTGTTCTTACCACTTGATAAATGATACCCTTTGTTTCTTGTTGTTTTGTTGCTGTAGGGAAGCTCTCAGCCTGTAAGGAGTAATAGGTTAAAGTGTAGGGAACAGAGCTATTAAACTGTGCCTGGGTTTTGACAGATGTTCTCCTCCTCTGCTGTTCTTTGGCCCTCCAGTGACAGTGCTTCTGATTTTCTCGTTTTGTTTCTGATTTGAGTGTTCCAGAGTGAGAGTTGTATTGATCAGATCTTGAAAAATTATCCTAAGACAGTTGACTTCACTTAGCCCCTGCGTGAGGGAGAACATCGATGGTGTTTTCCTTCGGTGTCTCCATTCCACCTCACACCTGGAGAAAGCCCTGCTGTGGGGCTCAGGGCAGGCGGTGGGAACTGACGTGAATGAGAGTGGTCGTGAAGGGAAAGGCTTTTGACGAAAGCAGACTCTTAAGGATTCCTGGTTTAAAAAACACATCAGGAGACTTCTGGGTGAAAAAGACAGATTGAACATACATATAGATTAATCTTTATCCCCTGTATCACTTCCCAACTACGTGCTACTAAAAGAATAAGTAAAAGGCATGAACATGTAAATGACAACAAACAAGAAATAGCAATAACATTTTGGACGCCATAAAGTAGTTGGACAAATAGCAAATGACTTAGCAGGCCAGAGAGAGCCCGTGCTTGCTGAGGGTGAAGCCAAGAGCCAGGCTGGTTTAGGCAGAAACACCTGGTGAAACGCAGGCAGGAGAAGCACCGGGTGCTTGTGAGGCACAGGTGCGACCAAGCCCGAAAGCAGGAGACGCGGCGGAGACGCCCGCTCTGGACTAGCAGGCGTGATGAAGGCGGGAAAGGCGCGTGGCCCCTGAGCAGGTGGAGCGGCTCCGAGGAAGCTGAGACCGTGCAGGGAGGAGAACAAAACATTAAAACAAGTGAAAGTCACTATTCTCAGAGAAATAAGTGAAGCTATTACACCATGAAACAAAAAAGAACAGGATATTATTTGTAAATGTTTTTATTATTTTAGGGAAAGAGGAAGGGAGAAGAGAAACATTGATACGAGAGAGAAACATTGATTGGCCGCCTCCTGCATGCACCCTGATCAGGGACCAAACCCACAACCTAGGCATGTGCCCTGCCTGGGAATTGAACCTGTGACCTTTTGGTGCATGGGAAGCAGCTCAGTCAACTGAGCCACACCAGCCAAGGAAGAACAGGATATTATTATTATTATTACTTTGTTGTTGTCAATCCTCACCCAAGGACATTTTTTCCATTAATTTTTAAAGAGAGTGGAAAGGAGTGAGGGAGGGAGAGAGGGAGGGAGAGAGAGAGAGACATCAATATGAGAGAGACACATCGATCAGTTGCCTCCTACATGTGTGCCAACTGGGGCCAGAATCAAACCTGCAATGCAGGTATGTGCCCTTGACTGGAATTGAATCCACGACCCTTCATTGAGTGGGCCAACGCTTTAACCACTGAACTACACTGCCCAGGGAAGAATAGGATATTATTATTTTTTTTTATTTATTTATTTTTAAATTTTATTTAATTAATTTATTTTTGTTACAGATGTTTCTCCTTTTCCCTCCACTGATTCCTCCCTCCCCTGCCCTCCCTGCCCTGTCCCCAGCTTTGTTGTCCATATCCATTGTTCATGCATACATGCATATAAGTTCTGTGGTTTATCTCTCCCCCACCACCCCCTCTTCTGGGGATTGTCAGTCTGTACCCCACTTCCACGTCTCTGGGACTATCCCATTCCTCAGACTGTTATGTTCATTATATTCCACAAATAAGTGAGATCATATGATACTTGTCTTTCTCTGTTTGGCTTGTTTCGCTTAGGATAATACTTTCCAGGTCCCTCCATCTCATCTCAAAGGATAAGAGATCTTTCTTTCTTACAGCTGCATAGTACTCCATTGCATATGTACCACAGCTTTTTTATCCATTCATCTACTCATGGACACTTGGGCTGTTTCCAGATCTTAGCTATTGTAAATAGTGCTGCTATGAACATGGGGGTACATATATTCTTTCTGATTTGTGTTTCAGGCTTCCTAGGGTATATTCCTAGAAGTGGGATCACTGGGTCAAATGGCAGTTCAATTTATAATTTTTTGAGGTAGCACCATATTGTTTTCCATAGTGGCTGCACCAGTCTGCATTCCCACCAGCAGTGTACTAGAGTCCCCTTTTCTCCACACCCTCGCCAACACTTGTTGTTTGATGATTTGTTGATGGCGGCCATTCTGACAGGTGTGAGGTGATACCTCATTGTTGTTTTAATTTGTATCTCTCTGATGATTAGTGATGTTGAGCATTTCTTCATATGTCTCTGAGCCATTTGTATGTCAGAACAGGATATTATTAAAAAATAAATTTTCAAAGAATGAAACAGAAGTTCTTAGAAATTAAAAACATGGCTCAAATAAATTCACTAGAAGGATTCAAAGAAAAAGTCAGATCTCTGGGGAAGTAGAATTAAAAAGAAAAAAAAAACCCTGGATAGATAATAGTGAAGAAAAAATTTAAACGTTAGAAGATTATTCTAGGAGATCCAGTGTCTTAGCCCAGGCTGCCACAGCAAACGCCATAGGCTGAGTGTCTTGAACAACAATTAATATCTTACGATTCTGGAGGCTGGGAAGTCCGAGATTGGGGGCCTGTATCCCGTTTGCAGACAGTTGTGTTCTTGCTGTATTCTCCCACGGCCAAGAGAGAGATCCTCTCTCCTGTGTCTCTTCTGCAAGGACACTAAGCCCATTCATGAAGGCTCCACCCTCATGACCTAATTACCTCCCGAAGGTTCCACCTCCAAATACCATCACCTTGGGGATTATGCTTTAAGATATGGATGAGGTAGGGGGCACACAGATTTTCAGTTTATAGCATCCCATATCTGAACAATTGGAGTTCCAGAACCTGAGAATGGAAAATGGAGGAATGAAGAATGGGGAATTATCAAAAAAATACATTAAGAAAGTTTTCCAGAAGAGTGTAGTCTCTAAATTGGAAGAGTTTATGATTTGTCCACTGCAAGTGAGTGAGTGAATAAACAACTAAACAAATAGAACAGAACACACCATGGCACGTGGTTTTGGAAAGGAAATGTGAATATTCCAATGTATGGAAAATAGGGTAAAAAGTTCAGCGAGTTAAAACGGGGCCGGTTCACATGATCAGAACTGAGAACGGCACAGTGTTTCAGGAACAACTCTGCTAGCGGGCATTAGAGCATACTTCCAAAATTAACCCACACTCAGCTCAGCTGGGTCATCAGTTAAAGATACAGGTCAAATAAAGACACTTCCAGGTGTGCAAAGTTCCTGTGTGCTTTCTCAGTATGCTGAGGGCCTGCCGCTGGTGCAGGTGTGCATTGAGAAGGATGAAGGCAGGATGTAGGAGACTTAGACTCCAACAGGGAACTTCCAGAAAAATGGCCAAGCTGTTTCCAGGAGAACTCGCCAGTGAGCGTGGGAAGCAGCCCGTCCAGATTGGAGTAGGAGGACAGAGAGCTCCAGGGGAGGGGTTCCCGGACAGGGACGGCAGGGTGCAGACGGTGAAGAGAAGGAAACAGACATTACGTGATGTGTTTGAATGTATGAGGAGGACCTTGGCGCTTCATAGTGTGATGATTTCGTACTGGAGAAGAAAGTGTGATAGGAATATGGAAAGCAAAGCAAATACAAAAACCAGGTAGTCACTTAGTGACGCACCTGGTAATTGGGATCACTTCCCCCACCGAGGATAACTCTGAATAGAAAAGCTAGATTAAAAATAAAACACGGCGCTGGAAGGCGTCAGGAAGCTAACTGGGTAACGCCGATAACTGGGGCAGGACCAGGGAGAGGGCAGACCAGGCGGTCACCCCTGTCCGGCACTCTGTGTCAGCTCTGGGCACCGGGCACCGGGATGGCTTTTTCTGGTCAGAGGACAGAGGCAGGAACCCAGGCTTGCCATGGTGGGGGTGGTGGGGGTGCCGGCAGGCCCTCTGCGGGACCCCACTCAGCTCCCGCTTGTCTTAGTTCCTCGGACTGTATCGAGGTGGTTCTAGATTATTGTCCCCCAGGCACCAGGCAGAAGCTAACACAGATTTTCTCTGGTGTATATATAGATCATCTTAGGACCTAAATTACTTTTAGAATTTTCAAACATAAGGCCTGGTGTATTGTATTCACAAAAAGGGCCAGGCAGCAGAGACACGTGGCGACAGGAGCAGACCTGTGACAGCTCCAGGTGGTGGGCTGCCGGACGCAGACAGGAGGCCCGCAGAGACATCAGCTGTAAATTCAGGAAGCTCTGAAAGGCCCAAGTGAGAAGAATGAAAGTCAATGTGTACATAGGTGTATCGTAGTAATGTTAAAGGTCAAAGGTAAAGAGAAGATCTTAGGATCAGCTGGGGGAAGGAAGAAGCAGCAGTGGGAGCCGGAAGGTCCAGCATGTCCTTGGAAGTTCCAGGGGGGAGAGCTCCAGGGGGTGACCGGGCCGAGTGTGTTTCGGGGGGAGGTGCGAGAAGCCCCACCCCAGGCTGCGGCCACCGAGCCCCAGCAGACCTTCCCGGTGGGCAGCGTGAAAGGGTTTTCTGGCCAGAGCACCAAAGTGACAGATGGAAGGTCAAAATGTAGGAAGGCATGAATTTTTTATAAGGTCCATATGTAGATAAAGTCGACTACATAAAACAATAAACCGGTGTCTTATGGGTGTGTGTACATTTCAAACATAGTAGCAGCGTGAAGCCGGGGAGAGGGCGGCGTCAGTGTTGTGAGGTCCCTGCACTCGGGGGGGACGGTAGGCATGTCAGTGAGCGTTTACGCCAGGGGTCCTCACTCTACTCCAGGGGTCCGCCAGGAGAATAGTAAAAGTGTAGCATCCAAGTTCATGATGAGAAAAGGATGTAATGAAAAATTACAAAATCCGAGAGAGGACAAGGAAGAAGAGAGAACATAAGTAAAGGGTAATACTTAGTGTTTTAATAATAGAGCTCAAATACATCAGAATTACATTGAATAAAGAGAACTAAACGTGCCAATTAGAAGACAAAAGATTTGTCAAAATAACCAAGCAGCTGGCATGGGAATGGGGTCAGAGGGCAGGGGAAGAGGGTGAGTGACACTTGTCTACATTTACCTTTTCTGTGTGATTCTGACTTGTGGAACCATGTCAGTGTTCCCTGTATATCCCTCCAAATCAACAATGCTGGGGGACCCTGAATTGGAATACAAAAAGAAGCATAGCAAAGTCATGCTAAAGGGAGCAGGCACCACCCTGCTGGTGTGGCTCAGTGGACTGAGCCTCGTCCCTTGGACTGAGAGGTCCCGGTTCAATTCCCAGTCAGGGCACATGCCCAGGTTATGGTCTTGATCCCCAGTAGGGGGCGTGTGGGAGGCACCCTATTTATTGATGTTTCTCTCCCACATCTATGTTTCTATCTCTCCCTTGCTTTCTAAAAAAAAAAAAATCAAAAACATATTTTAAAAAATAAATAAAAATAAAGGGAGCAGGGACTAATAAGAACTAGTCAGAGTAACTTTTGAACATGGTATTTTGACTCTGTGTCCTTTGGTTAAAGACCAAAAAAAAAAAATCTGTAGACACATACTAGATTCCAGGGAGTACGTTTCTTTTACATGGTGGCATGGGTTAATGATTCTAAAACTACTTTATATTTTAGGATTGATCAGATATGTATATTGTAGAAAATGAGAGCCAGGTTTTGAGGGGAAGGCTAAAATGAATCATTTATTGACCTGGGATTGGTGGTATTATGAGTTTATAGTTTCTGCTGGATACAGAACTAGCACCTGCAGTGTGTGTGTGTGTGTGTGTGTGTGTGTCTGGGTCTGTCTGGACAGTGGCACCAGTAGCTGTGAGCACACTTGGTACCTAGATCTGTCTCTAAATACTGTTTTCCCATGAAAAGGCTCCTCGGAGGAATGGCTGATTCCGGGACGGGGGCTGGGAAAGTGCAAGATGAGCTGGAACATCACGTTGTGCCAGAAAGGAGGTGTTCAGAGAAGGATGGGCACGTCGAGAGGACCCAGAGCCAGCCTGAGGGGCTTCTACTGGCCAGTCTGGGGCATTTTGAGTATCAAAACAAGTAATAATAGTAATGAATTACAAACTATTGAATAAAGTTTCTATAAGGCCAAGCCTCTACGAATGAATGTGTACATACATACATATATACTTAGATACATACATAAAGGAGAAGGGAAAATTCTCTATCACAGTAGACTGCCAACTACTAGATGGAAAAGGAATCATGGGATCAGAAAATCAGTGTTGGCAACCCTGTAATCATTGATTCAGGTAAGTTTGATGAGAAACAGGATGTTGACATAATCACACAGCATCTCCCCACAATATACTTATTCATTACAAAGGGGAAATGCCACTTCACAAGGGAGGAACCTGGCCGACATCACTGTAGCCAAGGGTTAACGATTCACATCGTCAGTAAGGAGGTAACAGAAGCGCTGAAGGGACACGATCCCGTCTTTGGCTTTTGTTCCACAAGTGTGCATCCTGACCCACCCACGAGGGAGCGTCAGACAAACCTAGGCTGAGGGACGTTCTGCAAAAGAAGGCCTTTTACAAGTAAGGTCCTGAAAGACCAACTGAAAACAACTGCAGATTAAAGGAGAGTGAAGAGACAGGACGGCGAAACCCAGCCGGGGGCTAGACTGAATCCCGGACGAGAAAAGGTGTTCTTTCAAAGGCCAGTTGGCAAGCTTTGAGAAAGGTCTGTAGATGAGATGAGATAATAGTATTGCATCAGTGTTAATGTTGTGATTTTTACAATAATGGTTATTTAAGAGAATGTCCTTGTTTTAGGAAATGTAAACTGAAGCGCTTGAGGGCTATCGTCTGCAACTTACTCTCAAACAATTTCGGAAAGTTTGTGTGTGTGTGTAAAGAGAAAGAACTAATTTGGAGTGTCCTGCCCCGTCCCATAGAGCAGGCACGCACCTGTCTCTGCGGGCGCTCAGGCAGCTGTCCATGGTGGGGCTGGGCTGGGACTGGGTGGCAGCTGATTAGTCCCTGGTCATCTCTGGTTTCAGCCATCCAAGGGGGAGTCCACCCAGGTTATAGTACAGGCCTCTCCTCTAACCTGGCTTTGGGATCCAAGTGCCGCTGTCCTAATGTCTAGGAACGCGAGGCCTCTCACCTTGTTGTCTTTCTCAGAAGTGTCTCGGCTCTTCTTGGCCTTTTGAATTTCCGCTGAAATCTTAGCTTACTGACTGGGTCAGTTACCAGCTGCGTAAAAGATTGGCGCCCACTGTTGGCCGTGCCGCCTCCAGCTGCCTTGTTTATCTTCTAGCTTTTCAGAGGAGCTGGTCGATGAAGCGCTGGGGGCCGTGACTGCTGAGCTTCAGGACGTGTGTGAAGACTACGCGGAAGCTGTGTTCACCTCGGAGTTCTTAGAGGCTGCCACCTGAAGGCTCTCCGGACGGCCCTGTGTCACACTGGGAGTGGCGGCACCGCCCTTTGATTTGGGCCACAGCAGCTCTCGCTCCTCCGCTGTCTGTCCAGGCCCAGAGGCGCTGCCTTCTGAAGGGCGGACATGCGGTGAGGGCCTCCTCGCGGCCTTTGTCACTGTCAGAGCAGTGGTTCTGGTGGTTTGTGGTGGGGTGTGTTACACTGATTCGTGCCCAGGAAACATGAATTGATTATGACAGTATAACATTTTCTGAATGTATGATTTTCCTACTGATACATTCATGCACTGGCTCAGTTTGGTGATCAGGATGTTTTGAAAAGTAATAGCTAGGTATCTCAGACAGGGATTCGAGTTGCTGTTGGACCCATGGGTGGATTAGTGCCAACAAAAGTGCAATTGCTGTCTGGTCCCATCGCCTGGCTTGTGTTTCCATGTTTGGCAGTTTCCCAACAGGACACCTGTCCCCACTGGGCTCCAGACCTGTGGGGAGCCCAGGGCCAGTTCTACTGCCCAACTTCTGCTCTGTTGCAGCTCATTCAGGATAAGAACCCGCCAGTTATCTGTGTACAGTGAGCACACGTTTCTCTGATGTTCACTTCCTAGGTGGGTTTTCACATTTGAGTTCCTCAAAGTCTCCTATTATTGGTTAACATATTCTGATATTCAGAACTTTCTCTGAATTCAGAGGGAATGTGCATACCTCGAGTGGGCCTGGCCTCCTGTGCCGGGTCAGAGGTCAGAGCTCACTTCTACCTCCGGCGGGGCCAGACCTTTCTGCCTTCCTGAACCACAGAGACCTGTGTGGGAGAACAATTCCCATGGTATTTAGACCTCGGGGTCTCCGGAGAAAGGAAGAAACTTACAAACCATACAGTTTGGTCCTCGATGTCTTATAAGTCATATTTACCAAGAGAAAAAGCCCCTGTGTTTTCAGAAACTCTGAATTCAGAACAAGGAATGTGTGTAGAAATAAGGCCACTGCCTGGGAAAAGGTTCCCTTTATGTTTTGCCTGAGGCTTGATGAAAGAGATGTAAAGAATGAGTGATGGGAGAGGTACCCCTTGAATAATGTGAATCTTTTCTGTAACAGTGTTGTCATCGGGGATTTTTCTCTGAAGTACAAGTATTCCAGGTGATCATTTGAGCTGCTTGGACCCACTTATTTGTATAAAATTGATTCTTGTTTAATGTTAATGTTTTCTTGATTAATCTTATATAAGCTCAGAATTTAAAAGGCTTCATGGGAAATTGAAGTGTTTAATTGCAGGAGCTGAATGTGCACACTGGAACCGATAGGATCGTCTGTCATTGATAGCTTACAGTGCTTTGTGTGGCAGTGTTTCCTCTGCTGATTTTTTAAATAAACTCAGTATTTTAAAGTATGTACATGTGTGTTTGAAATAATTGACATCTTTTTTCCACAGGCAACGTGAAGTGTGATATACCCCTGAGACTGCTTTTATGTTGACGTGAGCGTAGCGGACTGTTTGCCACCTCACCCACCAGGAGGAAATAGATGAGGGGGAAGCTAGTGTTCACGGGGCACACGCTGTGTGCCTGGCAACGCTCCGAGCGCTTCCCGTGTGCTCACTGATGTACGCTCATGTCTGTGTGAGGCAGACACCCTCCTGTTCTTATTTTACAGAGGAATAAAGCGAGGCACGGGACGGGAAAGACTGCTCAGACGGCCTGTGTTCAGGGACGCCGTGCTCACGGATTCACTGATCCCACGAGAGTTCACACAAGGGCCGTCTGCGCTCGGCCCCACTCAGCCGTCCTGGACACGTCGCCAGGAGCGGCCCTTTCCTCAGCACTCCCTGTCTGCCCTGGTCAAGTCCAGACTCCTGTGCTCTGTTTCAGGATCCTTCCAGTCTCCTGTTCCTCCTACCCGAGGGTCTCCGGTCTCTGACTCGGCATGGGAGAGGCTCACCCCTGCCTCCTCTCGGGGTTACTCCATAGCCCAGGGGTGCGGGGAGTGGCAGCCCTCAAACACAAACATTCCCGCTGGTAGCCTCGCCCCCGGCCCCCAGAATCTGTGTTCTTCATGAACAAGGGCTGTGTGTGGGTGGTTCTCTAATCCCCTTCCCTTTCCCCGAGACCTGTTCAGGTGTTAGTTTCAGCAACAGGCGTGAACGCCGCATCTCTGGGTTACCTGGGCGGCCCCAACTCGCAGAGGTGACCCAATTCATCAGTATGTTCTCCGTGCTGCCCGCTCTGCCCAGCTTCACAGCCGGTCGTATGGGGGCTTCAACATGTTCGCATGCTTGCCTGTAATTTGCTTAGCTGCCTAGCATGTAGTTGGTGCTCAGTAAATTCTTTCGAATTAGAGAGCGAAGGAAGGCACACTTTTTTTGGGGATGGGTTTTTACAGGGGTCCGTCACAGCTCTGCGATCTGTAAAAATGCATTAACCTGATGTGGGGGGCCAGCCAAGGAGAACCGCAGACCCCGACTCTGAGCTACTGATCCTGTGGAGTGCACACTCAGAACCTCAGGAACTCGCCTCGCGCCTAAACAAAGGGGTGCACCTCAACAAAGGGGTGCGCCTCGAGGCCCCAAGCGGCTCCTGGCCTCAGTGCCTGGTCAGCAGTCTGTAGCGCGGTGTGGCCGGCGGGGCTTGGGGTGGCCCGGGCTCGAGAGGAGGTCAGAGGTGCGGTGGTCCCTTCTCCCCCTGCCTGTGGGGCTGGAGGCAGGGAAGTGCTGGGGTGGGAGAGGGTGATGGGAGAGGACCTTTCTCCCCCACCGCCCTCCTGGAAGGAGCTCCCGGTGGAGGCAGGGACTGCTGCGTTGTCGGGTCTACACGGCAGGAGCGAGGGTCTGAGGCAGCGGTCCTCAACCTTCCTCGTGCCGCGACGCCTGAATACAGTTCTCATGTTGTGGTGACCCCAACCATATAATTCTTTTTTTTTATCCTCACCCAAGGACATTTTTCGATATTTTGTTCAGATAGAGTGGGAGGGAGAGAGAAACATTGACGTGAAAGGGACAAGTGGCTGCCACCCGCACGACCCAATCAGGGCCTGGGACAAACTGCAACCGAGGTACGTGCCTTAGCAGTAACCGAACCCGGGTCTCTCCAGACCGCAGACCAACGCTCTAACCGCTGAGCCAAACCGGCCAGGGCTAAATTATTTTCGTTGCTACCTTATAACTGTAATTTTGCTGCTGTGATGTCTTAGGCGACCCCTGTGAAAGGGTTGTTTGACCCCCAAAGGGGTCGCGACCCACAGGTTGAGAACCGCTGGTCTAAGGGACGCCCCCTGGGCCATCAGCGAAGGAAGGGACTCCGTGCCGAGGCAGAAAGCCCCCGTGTTCCTGTGGCAGAGTGTAGGCTTCCTTAACTAGTGCGTGTTTCTGCAAGGGACTCGTTTTAGCAGCTCGAGAGGGCGACGAGAGTTCCGGCAAGACCTGTAAATCGAGTGTCTGCACTGTCACCCGCGTCACCGTCACCCTCGGAAGGGCTGGCTGCTGAGCCCCGTGGTTCTTGGGGCTCTGGGAAACCAGGAGAAAGGCGGAGGCATGCCTGCCTCCTTCCTGAACATTGGCCTCGCTCAGCTCTCAGTCCAGCGCAGAGGTCTGGGGTCCGCTTCGACACTGGCAGTGTATCGGGTGGTGGAGCCCAGCAGCGTGGGCTCGGCTGGAAGCGCTTCCGCCAGACATCCATCCGAGTGCTTCCCGTCAGCCTTCAGCGAGGGCCCAGGAGATCCCAGATGGCGACCCCTCTCCCACCACCAGTCCCGAGTGAGCTCAGTCACCCATCTGTTCGTGGGGGTCCTGCCCTGACCCGGGGCTCACCACTCTGACAACCAGACTGCCCCAGACTGTCAGTGGTCCTTCCCCTCACACCGCCACTCCGCTTGCCCGCCTGCTCAGGGCCCTGTTCCTACCACAAGGCCCTGCTGGCTCTCACCAGTCCTCAGAGGGGCCTCTCACCCTCAGCCTGCGAAGGGGGCCCCCAGACCACCCATCCTCCTGGATGAATCTCCTTTATCTGCTGCTTTGTGGTGGTGACCCTCTTCCATTTCTCTCAAACCAAACCCGCTGCCTCGGCATTTTTTCTGGCCGACTTGCCACTTATCCGACCTGACCTTGCTGTGGCCTGCAGCTGGGTCCATCCATCCAACCCTGCCACCGGTCTGCCCCACCCGGTCTGCCCCACCCGGCATGCAGTGGGTGTGCCCGGAGGGCGGTCTCCCGCTGTGTCCTGCAGCCATGAACAATATAGCACCTTTGGTTCTGCCTCCCCTGTGGCCTAGCTCTCCAGGGCTGTGCCACGGGGCTGTGCCACGGGGCTGTGCCACGGGGCTGCTCCCCCTCCTTCTCTCCGGCCTCCATGTCTCTTCCTGACCACTGCTGCATCCTCACCACAGGGCGGTCTCTCTCCTTGGGAAGTCCAAGCCATCTGTGTATGCCATCTCTGCTGATGTCCTTCACTGCCCAGGAGACCCCTGGGTCTCTCCCTCCACCCATTCCAATACCTTAAAATTCTTTGTAGAAATCCTTAAAAAGTCTAATAGTTTCTGGAGCAGTCATACACCCAACCGTAAGTGTGCCCCTGGGAGCCAATCATCACCCAGACGCTGCTGGTCCCGCCTCTTGTCACAGCCTTTGCTTCCCGGGCGGGCGCTGTGGTCCTTAGCTTCATTGCATGCCCCCACCAGCCCTCTTCTGATCCCTCCCCTGGGACCTCTTCCTACCTCGCTTTACTCCCGCCCTCCCCCAGCCCGGCCTTCCTCCTGCCTGCCTCCTGAGACCTGGTCATGCATTTCCCTTCTGCTCCATGGGGCTCCCTAGAATTTCCCACCCATGCATCCTTCCTCTGTGTTCCCCGGTCTTGGTGGGCAGCCTTAGCCCCCTACTCCCGGCTGCGGAGCCCTGCAGAAGGTCGCTGCGCCTGTGCTGAGTCTACTGTGCATCGCTGCCACCTGCTGGGCAGGGCCCTCAGGACCAGTCTGACTCCCGCCCTGCCTGGCCTGGCGGCCCTCTGGGGAAGGGGAGAAGTCCAGGGAGCTTGCTGCCTCCGAAACGCTGTCATCGAGTGGCTGGAACATTCACGTCTTGAACATGTGGGCTCTGCCATTCACCCCACAGTCCCAGGGTTCTCTAAGCCTGGGCTGGATCTGACTCAGGAAGCCCCAGCGAACACTGACCCCTGGGTGCACACAGGAGGCTGGAGCCCAGAGCTGGGAGATGAGGCTGCCTCGGGAACCTGCGCAGCGTCCTGTACGCCCCGGAGGCCTTCTGGGAGAGGCCACGCTCCAGCCCGAAGGAGCTGGTTCTCCTTACCCCCACCTGTTCAGCACTCTGTCCTGGAGAGTTCCTGAGAGACCAAGAGGCCAGTGAGCACCACCATCCACATCTGCTGAGCGCTTTGCAAGGAACTGAATTTAAATGCATTCTCTTCTCTCTTCAGGTCGTTGTAACCACCCTGTTTTGTGTATTAGCAGTAGCTCAGCCTAATTAAGAATACGAGCCATGAATTAAAATCACCTCCATTTGCCCAGCCTGTGTGGCTGGGTGGATTGAGCATCATCCCATGGACCAAGAGGTCCCAGTTCGATTCAGGGCACATGCCTGGGTTGTGGACTCGATCCCCAGTAGGGGGCGCGTAGGAGGCAGCTGATCCACGCTTTTCTCTCACATTGATGTTTCTATGTCTCTCTCCCTTCCCCCCTCTCTAAAAAAATCAATAAAATCTTATTAAAAATCAATAAAATCTTATTAAAAATAAATAAAATCACCTCCATGCCTCAGTTTCCTAATCTGTGAAAGGGTTAATAACAGTAGTGCCCACCCAGGGTTATGGTGAGGAGTAAGGGAAATATAAAACACCTGGAAAAGCAGCCGGCCGATCACACGTACTCCCTCAACGTTCACTCAGCGATCACGGAGGTTGATCGCCCAGAAGCTTGTGAGAGGAAACCTCGCGGTTGGTTCTCACAGCCTTCGTTGTCAAGACTTCCCTCCCCTCCTTCCTGCGGTTCTCTCCTGCTTGTAATCCCGTCGCTCCTTCCCGTCTCAAACCCTTGGCAACACTTGTGCTAGCCATGCCGGCGGCGGCCCTGCCAACTAAACGCATCTGGTTCCCCACTGCAGGTGGTCTGCCCGGGCCACCTCAGATAACCGCCGTGGCCGGTGCTCCTGCAAGCTTGCTCGGGCTCCCGGTGCCGCCAAGACCGGCTGACCCGGGCCGCATCCTGTTGGGCGGGCGGGCAAAGTATTAATCACCCCATTTTACAGGTGAAGAAATCGGGCCCTACAGAAATCAAGAGACTTTCTTGGGGCCTTACAGAC